GCCCTTAAAACAGAGCTCGCACCAAAATATCAGAACAATAATGATAAAAGCAAGTATAGGGGTGTCAAGTTTTGGTTCTTAGCTGCGTAAAACAGTCACTGTTTTAGCCGTGCGTCTTGTTTTGACAAAGTTACAGCTTAGAAACGGCAACAAAACCGGGCTATCTGCTGCCGAAAGACGTATACGTGATTTTAAGCACAAAAAAATCAGTTTTTTGGCCATACCGAAGCCAAAAATGCTCCAAATGAGGAATGTAATACCTCGTAGGGCTCGTAACTTGATTGCCATGATTCCCAATTGGTTTGCATTCAAATCTGGGAAACTTCATTTTTGGCCCATTTTTGAAAATTTTGATGATGGTACCCCTTATCAAAAATGCGAAATTTGGGCCAAAATTCATTTTCCGAAAATCGAAAAACGAGGGATAGGGGTGGTTAGTATTTGTCGTTAGCAGCACGAAACTGTGGTTCTTTTGGCTGTGCGTCTTGTTTTGACCGAGCTAGAGCTAAAAAACCGAAAATAATATTGCAAATTTCTGTTAAAAATCGGTTTTCTGGTTTCCTAGCCCTTAAAACAGAGCTCGCACCAAAATATCAGAACAATAATGATAAAAGCAAGTATAGGGGTGTCAAGTTTTGGTTCTTAGCTGCATAAAACAGTCACAGTTTTAGCCGTGCGTCTTGTTTTAACAAAGTTACAGCTTAGAAACGGCAACAAAACCGGGCTATCTGCTGCCGAAAGACGTATACGTGATTTTAAGCACAAAAAAATCAGTCTTTTGACCATAGCGAAGCCAAAAATGCTCCAAATGAGGAATGTAATACCTCGTAGGGCTCGTAACTTGATTGCCATGATTCCCAATTGGTTTGCATTCAAATCTGGGAAACTTCATTTTTGGCCCATTTTTGAAAATTTTGATGATGGTACCCCTTATCAAAAATGCGAAATTTGGGCCAAAATTCATTTTCCGAAAATCGAAAAACGAGGGATAGGGGTGGTTAGTATTTGTCGTTAGCAGCACGAAACTGTCGTTCTTTTGGCTGTGCGTCTTGTTTTGACCGAGCTAGAGCTAAAAAACCGAAAATAATATTGCAAATTTCTGTTAAAAATCCGTTTTCTGGTTTTCTAGCCCTTAAAACAGAGCTCGCACCAAAATATCAGAACAATAATGATAAAAGCAAGTATAGGGGTGTCAAGTTTTGGTTCTTAGCTGCATAAAACAGTCACTGTTTTAGCCGTGCGTCTTGTTTTGACAAAGTTACAGCTTAGAAACGGCAACAAAACCGGGCTATCTGCTGCCGAAAGACGTATACGTGATTTTAAGCACAAAAAAATCAGTTTTTTGGCCATAGCGAAGCCAAAAATGCTCCAAATGAGGAATGTAATACCTCGTAGGGCTCGTAACTTGATTGCCATGATTCCCAATTGGTTTGCATTCAAATCTGGGAAACTTCATTTTTGGCCCATTTTTGAAAATTTTGATGATGGTACCCCTTATCAAAAATGCGAAATTTGGGCCAAAATTCATTTTCCGAAAATCGAAAAACGAGGGATAGGGGTGGTTAGTATTTGTCGTTAGCAGCACGAAACTGTCGTTCTTTTGGCTGTGCGTCTTGTTTTGACCGAGCTAGAGCTAAAAAACCGAAAATAATATTGCAAATTTCTGTTAAAAATCGGTTTTCTGGTTTTCTAGCCCCTTAAAACAGAGCTCGCACCAAAATATCAGAACAATAATGATAAAAGCAAGTATAGGGGTGTCAAGTTTTGGTTCTTAGCTGCATAAAACAGTCACAGTTTTAGCCGTGCGTCTTGTTTTGACAAAGTTACAGCTTAGAAACGGCAACAAAACCGGGCTATCTGCTGCCGAAAGACGTATACGTGATTTTAAGCACAAAAAAATCAGTTTTTTGGCCATAGCGAAGCCAAAAATTCTCCAAATGAGGAATGTAATACCTCGTAGGGCTCGTAACTTGATTGCCATGATTCCCAATTGGTTTGCATTCAAATCTGGGAAACTTCATTTTTTGGCCCATTTTTGAAAATTTTGATGATGGTACCCCTTATCAAAAATGCGAAATTTGGGCCAAAATTCATTTTCCGAAAATCGAAAAACGAGGGATAGGGGTGGTTAGTATTTGTCGTTAGCAGCACGAAACTGTCGTTCTTTTGGCTGTGCGTCTTGTTTTGACCGAGCTAGAGCTAAAAAACCGAAAATAATATTGCAAATTTCTGTTAAAAATCCGTTTTCTGGTTTTCTAGCCCTTAAAACAGAGCTCGCACCAAAATATCAGAACAATAATGATAAAAGCAAGTATAGGGGTGTCAAGTTTTGGTTCTTAGCTGCATAAAACAGTCACTGTTTTAGCCGTGCGTCTTGTTTTGACAAAGTTACAGCTTAGAAACGGCAACAAAACCGGGCTATCTGCTGCCGAAAGACGTATACGTGATTTTAAGCACAAAAAAATCAGTTTTTTGGCCATAGCGAAGCCAAAAATGCTCCAAATGAGGAATGTAATACCTCGTAGGGCTCGTAACTTGATTGCCATGATTCCCAATTGGTTTGCATTCAAATCTGGGAAACTTCATTTTTGGCCCATTTTTGAAAATTTTGATGATGGTACGTACCCCTTATCAAAAATGCGAAATTTGGGCCAAAATTCATTTTCCGAAAATCGAAAAACGAGGGATAGGGGTGGTTAGTATTTGTCGTTAGCAGCACGAAACTGTCGTTCTTTTGGCTGTGCGTCTTGTTTTGACCGAGCTAGAGCTAAAAAACCGAAAATAATATTGCAAATTTCTGTTAAAAATCCGTTTTCTGGTTTTCTAGCCCTTAAAACAGAGCTCGCACCAAAATATCAGAACAATAATGATAAAAGCAAGTATAGGGGTGTCAAGTTTTGGTTCTTAGCTGCATAAAACAGTCACTGTTTTAGCCGTGCGTCTTGTTTTGACAAAGTTACAGCTTAGAAACGGCAACAAAACCGGGCTATCTGCTGCCGAAAGACGTATACGTGATTTTAAGCACAAAAAAATCAGTTTTTTGGCCATAGCGAAGCCAAAAATGCTCCAAATGAGGAATGTAATACCTCGTAGGGCTCGTAAATTGATTGCCATGATTCCCAATTGGTTTGCATTCAAATCTGGGAAACTTCATTTTTGGCCCATTTTTGAAAATTTTGATGATGGTACCCCTTATCAAAAATGCGAAATTTGGGCCAAAATTCATTTTCCGAAAATCGAAAAACGAGGGATAGGGGTGGTTAGTATTTGTCGTTAGCAGCACGAAACTGTCGTTCTTTTGGCTGTGCGTCTTGTTTTGACCGAGCCCTTATCAAAAATGCGAAATTTGGGCCAAAATTCATTTTCCGAAAATCGAAAAACGAGGGATAGGGGTGGTTAGTATTTGTCGTTAGCAGCACGAAACTGTCGTTCTTTTGGCTGTGCGTCTTGTTTTGACCGAGCTAGAGCTAAAAAACCGAAAATAATATTGCAAATTTCTGTTAAAAAATCCGTTTTCTGGTTTTCTAGCCCTTAAAACAGAGCTCGCACCAAAATATCAGAACAATAATGATAAAAGCAAGTATAGGGGTGTCAAGTTTTGGTTCTTAGCTGCATAAAACAGTCACTGTTTTAGCCGTGCGTCTTGTTTTGACAAAGTTACAGCTTAGAAACGGCAACAAAACCGGGCTATCTGCTGCCGAAAGACGTATACGTGATTTTAAGCACAAAAAATCAGTTTTTTGGCCATAGCGAAGCCAAAAATGCTCCAAATGAGGAATGTAATACCTCGTAGGGCTCGTAACTTGATTGCCATGATTCCCAATTGGTTTGCATTCAAATCTGGGAAACTTCATTTTTGGCCCATTTTTGAAAATTTTGATGATGGTACCCCTTATCAAAAATGCGAAATTTGGGCCAAAACTCATTTTCCGAAAATCGAAAAACGAGGGATAGGGGTGGTTAGTATTTGTCGTTAGCAGCACGAAACTGTCGTTCTTTTGGCTGTGCGTCTTGTTTTGACCGAGCTAGAGCTAAAAAACCGAAAATAATAATGCAAATTTCTGTTAAAAATCGGTTTTCTGGTTTTCTAGCCCTCAAAACAGAGCTCGCACCAAAATATCAGAACAATAATGATAAAAGCAAGTATAGGGGTGTCAAGTTTTGGTTCTTAGCTGCATAAAACAGTCACTGTTTTAGCCGTGCGTCTTGTTTTGACAAAGTTACAGCTTAGAAACGGCAACAAAACCGGGCTATCTGCTGCCGAAAGACGTATACGTGATTTTAAGCACAAAAAAATCAGTTTTTTGGCCATAGCGAAGCCAAAAATGCTCCAAATGAGGAATGTAATACCTCGTAGGGCTCGTAACTTGATTGCCATGATTCCCAATTGGTTTGCATTCAAATCTGGGAAACTTCATTTTTGGCCCATTTTTGAAAATTTTGATGATGGTACCCCTTATCAAAAATGCGAAATTTGGGCCAAAATTCATTTTCCGAAAATCGAAAAACGAGGGATAGGGGTGGTTAGTATTTGTCGTTAGCAGCACAAAACTGTCGTTCTTTTGGCTGTGCGTCTTGTTTTGACCGAGCTAGAGCTAAAAAACCGAAAATAATAATGCAAATTTCTGTTAAAAATCGGTTTTCTGGTTTTCTAGCCCTCAAAACAGAGCTCGCACCAAAATATCAGAACAATAATGTTAAAAGCAAGTATAGGGGTGTCAAGTTTTGGTTGTTAGGTGCATAAAACAGTCACTGTGTTTAGCCGTACTCGACAGTATTTTGCTCATAACTTGGCCAATAATACTGCAAATATGGAATTAGCTTAGCTTATATTTGACATTTCAAACTGTGAATGCAGGTTTGATAAGAATTAGAAAACAAGCTCTACCGCATTTGGACTATAATTAGGTTAGTTATGGGAAAGATACCAAATTTCGCATTTAATATTTATATATTAATATTATTTTTTGTATAAATAATTAATCTAAATTTTCCCACAGTGGCTATAGTTGCGAGGACCACTTCCGTGAGCCGGACACGTTCCTGCACTCGTGGGAAGTTCTTCTGGAGGTGATGATGTCGCCTATGTGGTGAGTCCTTTAAAGTGCTATGATTATTTCATTAATTAACCCCATTTAATGCTTTCTAGTGAGAATATGCTGGTGGATGTGGGCATGCCGGTGATGCATCGAAATGTGGCCTACAATTGCCGGGTGGCGTTCTTCAATCGCCAGATCCTGCTCATCCGGCCCAAGATGGCGATGTGCGATGATGGCAACTATAGGGAATCCCGTTGGTTTACAGCCTGGACAAAATCTCTGCAAACGGAGGAGTTCGTGCTGCCGCGAATGATTGCCCAACATACAGGACAGCAGACGGTGCCGTTTGGTGATGCCGTCATAGCCACTAGAGACACTTGTCTGGGTTATGAGATCTGCGAGGAGCTGTGGAATGTGCGTAGCAAGCACATTGAGATGTCCCTAGCAGGTGTGGAGCTGATAGTAAACAGCTCCGGCAGCTATATGGAACTGCGTAAGGCGCACATCACCACCGATCTCATCCGAAATGCCAGCTTCAAGGCCGGAGGAGCCTATCTCTTTAGCAATCTTCGTGGTTGTGATGGCCAGCGGGTCTACTTCAATGGCTGCTCGGCCATTGCCTTGAACGGTGAGATACTGGCACGTGGACAACAATTTGCCCTGCAGGATGTAGAGGTCACGCTGGCCACCATCGATCTGGAGGAGATTCGTGCCTATCGCGTTAGCCTGAGATCCCGCTGCTCAGCGGCTGCGGCGGCAGCAGATTATCCAAGGATCCATTGCGACTTCGAGATGTCCACGCACAGTGATATCTTCAAGACGTCAACGCCTCCGCTTAATTGGCCAATTCATACGCCAGAGGAGGAGATTGCTCTGGGACCTGCCTGTTGGCTCTGGGACTATCTAAGAAGATCCGGTCAAGGGGGATTTTTCCTACCGCTCAGTGGTGGTGTCGATTCCAGTAGCTCTGCCACAATAGTGCACTCCATGTGCCGGCAGATTGTCCAGGCTGTGCAACTGGGGGACGCCCAGGTGCTGCACGATATCCGTTTGATTCTGGCCGATACAGATTATACGCCGGATAATGCCGCCGGATTGTGCAACCGACTGTTGGTCACCTGTTACATGGGCAGCGTGAATAGTAGCAAGGAAACCAGGAGAAGGGCCGCCCAGTTGGCAAATCAACTGGGCAGTTATCACATCGAGATCAGCATTGACTCGGCCGTGAATGCCTTGTTGGGCATATTTAATGCTGTCACGGGTTTGACGCCTCGATTCCGGACGCAGGGAGGTTGTGCCCGGCAAAATCTGGCACTGCAGAATATGCAATCGAGGATTCGTATGGTCCTGGCCTATATTTTTGCCCAGCTAATGTTGTGGGTGAGGAACAGGCCAGGTGGTTTGCTTGTCCTAGGCTCCGCCAATGTGGATGAGTCGCTGCGCGGTTACCTAACGAAGTATGACTGCTCCTCGGCTGACATCAATCCGATTGGAGGGATCTCCAAAATGGATCTGCGAAGATTTCTGACCTATGCCATGGAGAAGTATGTAGAGATTATATATTCCAGATAATGTACTTACCTCCAATTTTTATTATCCAGGTTCAATCTGCCCGTACTGGAGTCCATCATAGATGCCCCACCCACCGCCGAACTGGAACCGCTGCAGGAGAACGGAGAACTGCAGCAGACGGATGAACAGGACATGGGCATGACCTATGCAGAGCTCTCCGAGTACGGACGCCTGCGCAAACAGTCTTTCTGCGGTCCTTACAGCATGTTCTGCCGACTGGTGGCCACCTGGAAGGGTGATCTTAGTCCCAAAGAGGTGGCCGAAAAGGTGAAGCATTTCTTTCGATGCTACGCAATCAATCGGCATAAGATGACCGTGCTGACACCATCGGTTCATGCCGAAAGCTATAGTCCGGATGACAATAGGTTCGATCATCGCCCGTTCTTGTATCGTCCCAACTGGAGTTGGCAATTTAAGGCCATTGACGACGAGGTGGACAAGCTACAACCCATCTACACTCCATCATCGGCACAGCTGCGTCCCAGCAGCGATGATTTGCTCCTGTCCACTCAGAGATCCTCGCACTTGGATGACTCCAAGCACTCCTCGCCGTTGTCCTCGGCCTCGGCGTCCGCATCGATTGATGTGGGCATTTCGACGGCAGCGGTTCCACTACCCGGTGCCGCTGCTCCAGGCGGTCTCTCCAAGAAACCCAGCGGCTATAGCAAGGTGCACGTCAATGTTCTCGGCAAGATCAAGGACCGCACTGGCATTCCCGTCTAGAAACGACATACTCGCAAAGTACTGGAATTATGTTTTTGTTTTTTTTTTTGGCACAGCTTGATGTCTTTTGCTGTTAAACAAAGAAATCATTGTGGCTTAGATGATATATTTTCGATTTGTTATCAGTCAGCTATCTTTTGTAACTATGTGCCTTCTATTGTTCGTAACTTGTTTCCTTAAGACGTTCGGTGTATGTTGATCTGCATACGTATATGGTTAATGTAAGCCCCAAGTAAAACTTAGCCCTGATTAGTATATTCATGTTCCTTAGTTGTTGATTAACAAACGCCTGTAAAACCAAACAATTTATGGAATTGAAAAGTGATTTCATTACAAATTTATCCTTAATCCTTTCCTTTAACTACTAAACATTAATGCTTTATATCCCTTAAATCTAACTATTATTATATACATCATTTGAAAATCACCAAATATCAAACTTCAGTACTAAGCAGCAGCAAAAGGCATTATTCTGTATATATATACGGAACCCATACGTGTAGGCCTAGGCGTAGTACTAGCATTGCTCCTCTACCTATATCCATATACTATTTTTTTTGTAGATCCTCTTCAATGTAGTTGTCGGCCTTCGTAGCATCTTTTCCAGTTTGCCTTATCGAAAAGTCTTTTATCTTGTCTAAAGCTCAAGCTAAAACAAAAACTGGACAAACTATTTGTCCGCTTGTCCAAACAATTTGTACAACAATCTTTAAAAACGAAAACTAACTAGGCAGTTCTTTGCCGCACATTTAGTTAGATAATATCATAAACTTTTTTTTGGTTTTATATTTTAAAAAATAAGAGATTACTTGTTGTGTTGTTGGTTGTGTACAGTGCGTGTCAAGGGTTAATGTTTTTATCAGCCCCATTTAAAATTCTAAACTAAACTATCTTAGACATTACTTTTTTGTTAAAACGGATTGGTTAAGCCTTAAAATTGAAAAGACTAAGTATAAATTTTTTACAATAAAATAAGTTTTCTATCAACACCTTAATACAAATTTAAATATTGAAAGTTATACTTTAACCAACGCACTGTATGTTAAATAATTAAGATTAATTTGTTGATTATGAGACAATTTTTCTATGTTCAAGATCGCAGAAAATTATATTGTTATAAAAAATCTTAGAAACGTCAATTATATAACCTGTGGTCAGCTAAAGATCTTTAAACTTTAGACCAAAGCTAAAAAAAAGAACATTAATACGATATCATAGCTCGCAACTGTTAGTTAGTCTTTTTAGGTACTTATACATTGACTTTGTATCAACCAAAAAATGTCCTAAACTTTCGGAAACAAACATTAAAACTATTCATACCTTAAATTTTTTGTATTATCACAAAAATGATTTACTAAAAATGCTTTTCTAAATGAATTTGAAAAAAATTTTACGAACCACTTTTATCATAGCTAAACTTTTGTTAGTAAATAAAAGGCATACATTAAAATAATTCAAAATTGTATTTTGAATTCAGTAAATCCACATTAAGTTTAAAAATAAGAAATATGTAAAATTCCTGAAACTTGTAAGGACACTTTCCTGGGAGATGAGCAACATTTTGTTTGTAGTTTGTAGTTTTAACATGTAGATTTATAGCACATTGTGAATTTGAACACTCGCATCGGATCGATTTAATGGAACACTGATTATACACTTCTGTAGAAGTAAATATATACACCAGATATGTTTGCGGTTTTAAATGGAATAGTTCGATTGTATTATCAAAAGAAATTAATATTTAACATTTCTTAACTTAAGTTAATGATTTTGTAATATATTTAATGTTATTTTTATAGGTATCCGTTTCAATTGGTTTTGCATTTATGTAATCTTTATTAACATTTAACCCAATTTAACAGACATCGCAGAATTTCATAGAAAAATCAAATTTTTATACAAGTATTATATTGAAATTGAACACTATCAAATTCTGTTATAACCTTGCAGCCATTTTTAATCTTTGTTTCGTGTAATTTCTCATTTTGATAAGGCTAATTTAACATGTTTGTAATTTTTGTGGATTTTTAGGCGAAAATTGTTATTATCATTTTATATTGCCTATATTTAGGCTTTGCCATATTTGAGAACGAGATAGCTTCCAAGTTTGGTTGCTAATTTCAGGTCTTTTTGCTACCAGGCGAACAGAAAGCATAGCAAGCGTATGCTGGGCGCCAAAGTTTCTTTAAACCGAGCCCTCTCATTGGTCAACAAATGGCTCCCTGGAATATTTACAGTTAGTAAAGTCTAAGCAGCTCAAAACATAAGCAAGAGATGAGCAACCACGTTGTTTTCTGTGTCGTGTCACGAGTTTAGCACGATAATCACGAAAAAGCAATTAAATCCTTTGTATTTCATTCGATCGTGTCGAATACCACTGCTCACGTGGCCATCCCTAAGTGGCACTCATGTTTGGATAGAATCCGTTAGTTTGGTGCCCAAAACATAAACAAGAGATGAGCAACCACGTTGTTTTCTGTGTCGTGTCACGACATTGGCACGACAGGCACGAAATAATATTTAATTCCCATGTAATTTATTCGATCGTGTTGGAAAACAGTACTCACGTGGACATCCCTAAGTGGAGCTCACAAATTTAGCGATTTCCACCTACTACTCGATTCTGTTCGCCTGGTATTTTAAAGGCATCAGCTAGCCAAAATGCGTTGAAATTTTGATCAGAAAAATAAATTTTTCTCAGTCAAATCGGTCATTTTGGCAGTTCAGATACCAGGCGAACAGAAACGGCAGCAAGCAGCTACTATTTTCTGGGAGTTTGTGTTTTTTTTCAAGATGGCCGCCTTTTCAAGATGGTTGCCGTTGTCACTGGATGGAAACCGTTAGTTTGCAGGCCAAAACATAAACAAGAGATGGGCAACCACGTTGTTTTTTGTGTCGGCTCACGAGTTTAGCACGATAATCACGAAATAATATTAAGGTCCCATGTAATTTATTCGATCGTGTCGAAAAACAGTGCTCACGTGGCCATCCCTAATTGGAGCTCATAAATTTGCCGCTTTTTCAAAATGGTTGCCATTGCAGCCCAAAACATAAACAAGAGATGAGCAACTACGTTGTTTTTTGTGTAGTCTCACGAGTTTAGCACGATAACCACGAAATAATATTAAGTTCCCATATAATTTATTCAATCGTGTCGAAAAACAGTGCTCACGTGGCCATCCCTAATTGGAGCTCATAAATTTAGCGATTTCCACCTACTACTCGTTTCTGTTCGCCTGGTATTTTAAAGGCATCAGCTAGCCAAAATGCGTTGAAATTTTTATCAGAAAAATAAATTTTTCTCAGTCAAATTCGTAATTTTGGGAGTTCAGATACCAGGCGAACAGAAACAGCAGCAAGCAGCTACTGTTTTCTGTGAGCTTTGTTTTTATTTCAAGATGGCTGCCTTTTCAAGATGGTTGCCATTGCAGCCCAAAACATAAACAAGAGATGAGCAACCACGTTGTTTTTTGTGTCGTCTCACGAGTTTAGCACGATAATCACGAAAAAGCAATTAAATCCTATGTATGTCATTCGATCGTGTCGAATACCACTGCTCACGTGGCCATCCCTAAGTGGCACTCATGTTTGGATGGAAACCGTTAGTCTGGTGCCCAAAACATAAACAAGAGATGAGCAACCACGTTGTTTTTTGTGTCGTGTCACGACTTTAGCACGACAGGCACGAAATAATATTTAAGTCCTATGTAATTTATTCGGTCGTGTCGAAAAACTATACTCACATGTCCGTCCCTAAGTAGAGCTCATAATTTTCAAGATGGCTGCCTTTTCAAAATGGTTGCCATTGCAGACCAAAACATAAACAAGAGATGAGCAACCACGTTGTTTTCTGTGTCGTGTCACGACTTAGGCACGACAGGCACGAAATAATATTTAAGTCCCATGTAATTTATTCGATCGTGTCGGAAAACAGTACTCACGTGGACATCCCTAAGTGGAGCTCATAAATTTAGGGATTTCCACCTACTACTCGATTCTGTTCGCCTGGTATTTTAAAGGCATCAGCTAGCCAAAATGCGTTGAAATTTTTATCAGAAAAATAAATTTTTCTCAGTCAAATTCGTAATTTTGGGACTTCAGATACCAGGCGAACAGAAACAGCAGCAAGCAGCTACTGTTTTCTGTGAGCTTTGTTTTTATTTCAAGATGGCTGCCTTTTCAAGATGGTTGCCATTGCAGCCCAAAACATAAACAAGAGATGAGCAACTACGTTGTTTTTTGTGTCGTCTCACGAGTTTAGCACGATAATCACGAAAAAACAATTAATTCCTATGTATTTCATTCGATCGTGTCGAATACCACTGCTCACGTGACCATCCCTAAGTGGCACTCATGTTTGGATGGAAACCGTTAGTCTGGTGCCCAAAACATAAACAAGAGATGGGCAATCACATTGGTTACTGTATCGTATCACGAGTTTAGCACGAAAGGCGCGATATTACATTTAAATCCTTTGTATTTCATCATCTGATCGTTTTACACCTGCTACTTGCTTCTGTTCTTTTTGTAAAATAAAGAAATGTTGCTTTTTGGCTTCCAATTTGACCTTATGAGAATTATGCAGGATTTTTTTTAGCTTTTGAATGAATTTCCAGTATGATTATGCAACCCCTTGTCAAAGAAAGTTTATTTGTTATGCTTCAAATCTCAAGGTTTGCTAAGGAAATTTTTTTTCTTGATGTTGGGCATGTTACCGGTGCAGGTGGTCAAGTCGTCGAAGAACGTGGCGCAGGTCAGCAGGACAATGCCGATCTTCTCGGCGATGCACTTGGTGCCGTTGATGCCCTTGTAGCCAGCCAACAGAATATTTCTGCAGCTATCGATAAGCCGTACTGCTCGACGCCCATAAATTTGCGTTCAAAAATAACACTTTATATTCAATCTAAAATTGTTTTACAAATATTTATATGGCTATTATATAGAATTTACTTCATTAATAAGTGCAGAACGTAAAGAAAACATTGGAATTGGAGAGAATTAAACATATAAACTTACGTTTTCACAAATTTGACACTGTCAAGAAACTGTTAAACCAGTCGTGTTTTTCGATTCTGTTTTGCTCTTCTTGAGAAAAACGGTAGTTTACCGTTAGCAATGCTTTTGCATTCGGTGATATTTTTGGATTAATTTTATTACAGTGTAGTAAAGCACTATTCCTTCCTTTGTAGTTTTAAACGGAATGGATGGGTACGAACGTTATCAAAAGATATACAAGATCAACAGTGAGGTTTGTCTTTCCGCATATTAAGTTAAGTAACAACTGATAAAAGCCTCTAAATCAACTCCTAAATTTGGTTATCTGTGGGATCTGTGGGATATCACACAGATAACCCAATTTTGGAAAGTACAAACATAAGGACTTTTGAAGTTAAACTAAAAGTCCAAGTGGATGCTTCAAATATTTAATAGATTGTTAAACACACAAATGTGCGACATCGGTGTTGGGTAGAAATCCCGTCCAGGCGATGATCGTGCAGAAGTGTTCTCCTTTGAGTCGCCTCACAACGCGAACATTTGTCTCCTTTCCATGGATGGCATCCACCTTACGGCCGTGCAGGTGATCCAGCACCATCTGGCCACGGGTATGAATGCCACTCAGTTCCACGGTACCATAGTATTCCCGCTGATCGTCAATCATTGCATCTGGGAAGAGATAGGTGGCCGTGAGCAAGGAATCACAGCTAATCCATTTCACAAAGCCCCGCGGCACCATCATTGAACGCTCTACACGAGTTAGTAGCTCCACAAAGGGATGATCAACAGCTCCGAGGACATTTAAACGCCAGTCCACAGTAGCGCCAAATTCACCATCGATACACGGCTCCCAGGGCAGGATTACAGCTGGCTTTGACAATCGCTCCAGGGTAATGTGCGCCGCCTCTGGATCCATCATGAAATTGAACTCGGCACTCTTGGTGACATTGCCTTTGCCGAAAATGTTGCCGCCCATTATATAGACACCGCCAATCTTGTCCAGAAACGAGCTGCCATACAGATTAATGCAGTTGGCAAAGTTAGTGAGTGGTCCGCACAGCAGGAAGTCCACTTGACCGGGATTCTGGCTGGCCAGACGGTACATGGCATTCACGGCATGCTCGGGCTGTAGTTCTTTTTCCTCGCTGACCTCGGGATAGTTGCCAACATCGTTGAATCCATCTTGACCATGGAAACGCAAAGTATACTTCCAGGTGCGTGGCACTATGGGATCGGCACAGCCCTTGAAAACGGGAACCTAAGAAGGAGTTAATTAGTATGGGCTTATAATTGTGGATTTCTTTATAACATCTCTCTTACATCCCGCCTGTCCAACGTATGCAAAACTCTCAAAGCATTCAGCGTGCCGTTGTCCACGTCCGCATTGCCCTGCACCGTGGTTATGGCTAATACCTTGGTGGTCCTTCCTCCTGATAGGACTAGCTCCTCTGAGCGGAGCATCATGGCTAAGCCCCAGGCATCATCAGTTCCTATATCACAGTCGTAGACCACGAGACGCTGCTTGTTCTCCATGGCAAACTATCTTCCAAACTGGTCATGGTTGTACCTATCGATTACGGAACTATCGTTTCATTGTTGCCACCAGATATTAAACAGTATTATTAAATTTTTGGTGGTTTCTTTAAATGAGTAAAGTAAAAGTTAAGCTTGGGAGAAAATTTACTAAAATGCAACATCTTTTGTAATTCCAATAATGACTGCTATCCAGGGAACTCATTTTCCGCAACTCTGTAATTTATTAAACTTATTTGTTAATTGCATTAAGTAAATAAATATGCAAATCTTACCTGCAAGTAACTAGCTGGACACTAAAAACATCTGCATAATGGTGAGTTTGTTAGCTGTTATTCCAGCTGTTTTCCTATGGTGAGTTTACAAGTCTTAGAATTAACAGTACTTAACAGTATGAATAACATAGTTTTATTCTTAATTTTGAAAATATTTAAATAGCTGAAATAATAACAAAAATGGGTTTTAAATGATAGATTCATAATATGTAAAATATTTAGTTAAATATTGTTTAATTTTATATATGTAGGTATTTAAAGGTGTTTGGTCTTCAAAAGCTTTATGGATCCTACAAAACATATCTATTATATATTCTATTTGAAATATGGAATATTTAGGATATCAAAATATTACAAAAAATAGTTTATGATGCCTGCTTTTAAATTAAAATCTGGCCACAATTTCTACTCTTAATGCAACAAATTTCTTTATTATATGAGAGACTTTATGTCAATAAATACTGGTCGTATGATTTTCACTATCGCAATACTAGTTAATAAACACAAGACTATGTTAATAGAGCCAAGGCGTTTAATGACTTAAGTGGGTGTTCCAAGCTCATTTTCATATGTACTACATATGTACCTACACCTACTTACCTATATGATGTACCCCCTCAGTCTGGCATTCTAGAATCTAGATTACGCCGAGTGTCGCAAGTGGGCGACTTCTGACGGACGATTCTCATTATGGTTCGTTATTATCGCGACGACCTGCCGCAACTTGATTAACGTTTATTGTTACAATAGTGGTTCCAGTTGCCCTTCGGATCGCGCCTCCGGGATTCAATGGAATTCAATCTGTTTTGCGTCTCACAAGTGCTTCCCTATTTCCACAGAAATCGGGAAATCGGACTGGTATTAGCTTTTTGGGAAAGAAGAACAACAGGTGAGAACATACAAGTATGTATGTTATCTTTGGATATGAAACGGTTTACAACTATATGTACATATTGTCGAAAAGAAATAATGTTCAAAATCATGTAACTGATCACTACGTTCTATTAATTTCCCATTCTCTTTAGCAAAGGTGACTTCTAGTCGAGGGATTCCCTCTGGTACTATAGAAACCTAAAATAATGTGTATAGCTAGTAACTGATTTGTATTCCATTAATTTCACTTTCTTTTAACCACTGATAACCTCTAAAATAAAGGAAAGCCTCAGAGTTCTAAACGACTTTGCAGTGAAAGTAAGGGCATTTGGTGGTCAACCTTATAGATGGACAGCATTCCCACACGTCTTATCCGTTTGTCCCGCTCTCGCTTGACACGAACGTAAAATACAGCGGCGAGATATGGATTGCACACATGGTGACATATCGGCCACCACACATGTGAATCGCTCAGTTGAGTTGAGTTGAGGGAAAGGCGAGAGCGTTATGAAATTCCGTGTGATATGGCCTTTTGGTTCTGGTAATGCCCAGGCCATTCCCCGGTACCCAGTACCCAGTACCCAGTGCTGCTCAGTGCCCAGTAGACATCACCATTCACGACTACCAGAACCAGAAGCCGAGGCGAAACCGATAGACAATGTCCGGCTGGGCAGCAACCAGATGATTACCGTATGTGTTTTGTATATGGGTAGTCCGCAGTCCGCCGTTCGTGCACATTCATCACTTGCCGGCGATGGCAGACGGACGCACAGTGGAAAACGGCAACGGACGGGGAGGAGGCGGAGACGAAGGACCCACATCCCCCAAATATGCGATCCTCGACTGCGATGGTGGAAGTGACGATGCCTGGGCACTGCTCCTGCTCCTGCATGCAGCCGAGAGCCATGGGATCCATCTCCTAGCCATCACAACCATGGGATGCGGGAATACCAGCAGGGAGAATGCGGCACGCAATATGCGACGGATTCTGGATGCCTGCAAGCGCACAGATGTAAATATAAATATAAATAAATTGAAAAGCACAGAAAAAAAAAGATCTATAATATTTTATGAATCATTTTTGATCAGAAAACAAGATTTTTTATATTTCAAAATCAGATACAAATTCGATTTAAATCTATAATCTTTTTCTTTGATCTTTAAAAATGAATAGAAAATAATAATTATTTATTTGCCCTGCTTTTTGAGATCTGTTTGCCATACGAAATCAAGCATAACAATCGTTCAATCTATATAAATAATACATATAGTATTTACAAACAAAATCATAAGCAACTTGCAACTTTATTGTTTATTTTAACTCAAAGAAATCTAATATTTATTCAAGTACATGTGTGAGACATTGAGAAAAGAATACAAATTGAGGCTAATTCAGAAATCTCTCTCAAAATTTAATAACAAAGACAATTTAGTTTTATTAAGGTAAACTATGATTTCCGTATTATTATCCGAGGCTCATTTTATGAATCTATTTTTTTGTGGCATCTATTGTAGACTTCTTTTCTTTCTAAGAACCATACTTAAGATTTTATATTATTTTACCTTTCTAACTGATATTTTCAACTTACAGATTCCCATATACTTAGGAGCGGTGGATCCCCTGATTCCTTCCACTGAGGATGAAAAAAAGTATTTCCATGGCTGCGATGGCTTCGGTGACTGTCTAACCGACGACGGCAGTCCAGTGGAGAGTATTGTTCAGCCTGAGCATGCAGTGACCGCCATCTATGATCTCTGCCGTGCCAGGCCCAAACAGATCACAATTTTCGCCGTTGGCCCACTCACTAATCTGGCCCTGGGCTATACGATGTATGGTGAAAAGTTTGGAGAGAACTTCCGGGATATGTTCATTATGGGTGGAAATTATCAGGGAGTGGGTAACTCCTCACGGTCAGCGGAGTTTAATTTCCATTCGGATCCAGAGGCGGCACATACGGTACTGCTGAAGACCCGCTGTCACATCACCATCCTGCCATGGGAGCCCTGTCTCCCGGATAGATTTAATATACCCATTGTGAGTATCATATATCCTAGATTTACGCTATAGAATTTGTCAAGTGGGTATACGGATAAGATTGCCGTAAACAAAGATCAGCAGTTGCTTACTTCAAGTACACACTTTTGCTTGCCACGCACAAACAGCTCTTGATCACCTTGTTTAATTTATAGGAAATCTGTGGGCTGTATGAGGTTTCTATAAATTTTATGTTAATATCATGTTATATTATTAATGTGGCAAATATTATTATAGTATATCTAAAGAATTATGGTACCCAAAACTTGGTAAAGTTAGTTTCAAGAAACTCTGAAGCGTATACTAAGGAACATTCTTAATAATATTTGTTAACATAATCCCACTCCTCCTCCAGAACTGGCGGCTCAAGGAGTTTGCTGCCAGGGCCAAGCACGCTGGCCATCCGGCGATCACAATGCTCAACCAGGTGGAGGCTGCCCAATGGCTGCCAATGATCGAACAGTATGGAATTGATACATGGAATCCCTGCGATGCCATTGTGGTGGCTGCCTGGCTATTCGAGGATCATTTGATCCGAAAGCACAGTACCTGGCATGCAACTGTTGACCTGCGTGGCACCCATACCCGTGGTCAGATGGTACTCGATCATCTGCGGGAACGTGAAAAGTATCCGGAAAATGTTCGGATCATCGAGCTGGTCGACGTTGAGTTCTTCAAACGGATCTGCGAGTGGGTCGCCGGGTTGGACGGCGGATCACTACTTCACGACACTCAATAAACCCATTAATCAGTAATAGTAAATCGCGCCTTTTTTTCGGCACTATCGTTGGTTTATTTGCCGGATGATAAGGGTGAGGGCTTCTTCGATAAGAACTTGTTGGACAGGTGTACAGCGTACACCATTGGCAAAGAACTCAATTTGGTGATGACACAAGTTAAATCTGAAGTCAAATATTTACCGACGATTGAGGTTGTAGAATTGCTAGTTTCACTAGAGCACGTTTTATACTTTCTTTAAAAAAAAAACAAAAAAATCATAATTAAATCTCTTTGATTATTTAGTCTTCTTTTTAGTCTTCTTTATCTTTGAGGCAGGACCCTTCTGCTCCGCTGAAGTACGGTATGTTCCATGCAGCTTATCCAGCAGACCCAGTACGCCATAGTTGTAGTTAAACCTGCAAGGAGGGGGATCAGAATCAGAGTGTCAAGAAAACCAAAGGGTATTTACTTGGCATGGTGATAGTCATGGAAACGCACCGAACCCGCCGACCAGGGGAAACTATAGCCCGTATGATCACTCATGGAGTTAATAATGGCCAGGGCAAAGATCACATAGGCCAAGGCCACGTGAGTGCCCAGGATAGCAATGGATGTGGCTACTGGCATTAGATTGGCCACCACATGCTCTACCGGATGGGCATACAATGTAATGGCGGCAATGGGAGCCGTCCATTCGTGATGCTTCTTGTGGATATATTTGTAAACAGATCTATGATGGAGCAGGCGATGGGCATAGTAGAACATGACCTCTTCGAGGACTACAAAGATGGCCAAATCTCGAATAGATCTCTTAAATGTGGGGAGCACTCGTATGTCCCCGCTGTTTTCGGTCTTGTAAACCAACTCATAGACTGACCAGCAAGCCAGAAAGTTAACCACCGTCAGATTGACCAGCACCACCTTGACGGCATTCCAGAGCTTGGCCAGATCCACTGGCTCATTCTGACCAGGCTGGATTTTGTATTTGCGCAGGAAAAGTGGTCGATTCGTTATGTCCATCAGGGTAAAGATCCCAGCATATAACCAATATACAACAAAGATGACGATTGTGCTGCCCACCACCCAAAGGCGCCACGAATCATCTCCAACGATGTCCAGTAATGAAGTCCATCGTTCCTGCAGGAAATCCCCGGACTGTGTCCAAGCAGCCAGTAAGGTGTCCATTATGGTCGAGTTCTGGACGAAAACTACTCGCGGATCACTAGCCACTCTCTAAGGTTGGCTTTTCGACCACCTGGTGCCCTACGCTGAGTGGGTATACCAAACTGTTTAGGAAGGAAGCACATTTCTTGAGGAGATTGTCCTCTTTAAACTTAGTAAAAGTGAAATGGTTAGCAAAAATGAAGATAGAGCTCAGCTGGTCAAGTTCAGGAATATTACCTAGTACAGAAAACTATAAAACCCACATAACATTGCCTATATTATGTGTAAATATCATTAAGTAGCTCATCACAAGGATCAGTTAGACTTAACTATCATTTTTGGGTTCCTAAGTACTCGTTACGATTATATATGACTGTCCAAGCAGATTAATATTCCGAACGAATTTAGAAATCTAGCTAGCTTATCATTTCTTTCGCTGTCGATGGCATATTATGGTCAAGCATTACTATTGTATTAAGATAAGGAGTCTAACTATATATAGTTCATATTTAGTATATATATTGATTGTTGTTTAGAGCTTTCGTAAATCTCACCGATTCAAAGTTCAAGCCCTGGGGGAGATTGTAAAGCGGGCGCTCATTAGCAGCCTGTTGATCGTCCATTATTTCGATTATCTTAAGAAATAAAAAAATAAAAAAAACAATATTTTTAATCAATACTTAAGCAGGTGGATGGATTTTTTTATCAAATTTATAAAGTGACAAAGAAGAAAGCCTTGAACTTGGAGTGGAGAAGTAGAAAATATTGAATAAAATATATTTATAAATATTTAAAAAATAACTTTAACGCAACTCACTTTGAATTCTTTCATTTATTGTTTTTATTTTCCTTCTTTGTATATTTGACTTAAATTGGTTTCTTAGTTCACTTTTGGTTTTCGTTTCATTTGTGTTTTTTGTTTTTGTTTTGGTTTTTGGTTTTTGGTTTTCGTTATCCGTTTATCCATTATCCTTTATCCGAGTTTACAACAATTCACTTGCTTTTTGGAGACTTATGCCTTGAACGCCTTCAGTTTGGTTTGTTCGCTATGCTAGTTAATTATTAATTAATTATTTAATTATATAGTTATACGTAATGAAGCACAGATATTCGAATCGGTTTGTGTTTAAATAAGCCAGAATAACCGATCAATAAAGGACCCAACGAAACCATCTAAGAAAAATATCAATGAATTGTAAAATTCACTTAAAGTAATTGTCACATACACATATATATATATCGGGATATATATATATATATATATATCATATATCTAATGCTTAAGCAGATTTATAAATATTGCCTTGTCGATTGGATTGTATTGTTTTGTTTGTTTTAGTGTCTGTTTACTGTCTGTTGTTACTTTCTGGTTCCATCTGTTCATTTTTTGTTGTTTATTTTAAAATTTAAATTTGTGTATTTTTGCGCTTCTTTTGGTTGTCGTTTAATATAGTTGAAAAGGCACTGCTGCATTCAAACTTTTCCATATTTTCATTATATATTTTTAGCCCCCGGATCTTAGCCCCTTAGTCTCATTTTTTGGTAATTTTTTGTGTTTAGTTTTTAGTTTAATTTCGATTTTTTCCGTCTAGTGCTTGCTTGTGCCTATAATTTCCAACCTGTATCTTTAAGCTTTCTCAGAAGGACTTCACGAACTGAAGTGTCTCGTGTCTGGTATCTGTATCTGTATCTGTGTTTTGCATTACTATTTTTGTGTGTGAACAAATTCTTAATAACTACTTTTTCTTTACTTACAAAATCTCCATCTAGGCGGCAAAAACTTGTTCTCTTTACTTTTTAATTTATCTGCTCTTTTTTTTGTTTTGGTTTTCTTAGGTTTTTTAGGTTTTCATTTTACCCTATATCGATTTAAATCTTTTGTGCAATTTTGTCATTTTGCTTAAAAGTTCCTAAGCCAACTTTAAGATGAAAATGTTACATAAAACATTTGATTTTTTGGTTAGGCAGAAGTTTTTTAAAGAATTTTAAATCATTAAGATGTGAAAATCAATATTATTAAATATTGTGAAACCTTGCCAGCTTTTACAATTTTCAAATGGTAAAATTTAACAAAATATTTCTCGCATTCGCTAGACTATTTGATCCTAATGACAGCTATTTTGTATATTTAAATTGTTTATCTACCCACGGAAGCTCAACAAACAGACATTTGTATTTTATCAATTTTAAAAAGAAATTAGAGTTGGTAATTGTTTATACTTCTGGTAGGTTTTGGTTAGTAATACTGTTTGATGAAATAATGGTTAGTTTTATTGAACTATTGTCAGAACTCTTGGAGAATGTTAAATTAAAGCTTAACATCTGTCTCTAACGTCTTGTCCTTCATTCGCTTTAAAATTTCACAAAACATTTTTAGCCTATTCTATATATTCTTACGATCTACCGACTGTCCTTACTTTTCACTTCACAAATTAAACGGTCTAAAAAAAAATAGATAAACTAAACAAAAGACCTAACGAAAGCGGTTTTCTTTTTGAAAATTGAACATCTTTAGGACTTTTAAACGTTTTTCTTTAAAATAAAAATCATAAAAAATTATATAGAATAATGTAATAAACTCTTAAATATCAATTTTCATGACATTTTCAAAAATGTTTAGAAATCTTACAGAACTTTTTAATGCTACAAAAGGGAACTTAGACTTGACCATCCTAACTCTGACTCTTGTTCCTTTTCTTTAAAGGTTCCTCAGACTAAGAAGCGTGCTGCCGGTTCCGAAACTTTTCTCCACTTTCGTTTAAAAGCTTATTTCTAAAGGAGAACCTTGAGCTACAACAACAACTACTAAATGACACTGGCGATTCCAACAACAACGCCCACTATTATTCAAGTTGTCCACGTCGATGGCTGCGATGACCACGATGATGGCGATGCTGGCGATGATGATTCCTTGCCTCCGCCTCCGTTTCGGTATCAGTATCATTCTGATCCCGTTCTTCCTCCTCGTCCTCATCATCATCATCGATGGCATCCTCATCGTGCTCGTTGAGTAGCAGAGGACTATCATCGCCCAGGCGATTGGGGGGCAAAGCACTGCCCGGAGTTGTAGGCGCTGAACGGGTGATCCAACCCTTTCGGGCCACTCGTCCTCGATTCACAAAGAAACTGGCACCACTGACCACACTGCTAACCGGACTCTTGAGCACACAGCGCTGTGCACCCGATCCGGATCCACCGATGGCCGCCATTGGTATGTACAATGCCTTGTTCGGCTGCGTTTTGCTGCCAGCGGAGGTAAAGAACTTTTTACTTCGTCCACTGCTGCTTCCGGAAATCGATGCGGATGTGGTTAGGATGGGCTGCAGCACCTGCTGGGAGTTCGAGGGCGTCGATAGCGTGTGCTGCAGCCGTGGTTTGGCTCCAGTTCCGTTCAGCAGAAGCTGTTCGTAGCTAACGCCCGCCTGAAGCTGACGAATCTGGTCGAGTATCTCACGCACCTCACCCGTTGGACTAGTGGCCTGTGGCGGGGATCCCGGTGTCCCAATATTGGCTAGACTACTTACTCCCGATACCTGAGCCGATGGCTGGCAACAGTTCTCCAGGCTGTGCAGCGGATTGGGTTGTATACATCCATTGCTATATATCACCGGTGTGCCAGATCCTCCCGAAGCTCCTGTGCCACCCGTTACCGATCCTCCCAGTCCACCCATAGCGAGGCTATTGAGTGAGGCTGCCTGTGTGGCTGCTCCACTCTCCGCACCCTGGGAGGCACCGCCTGCTCCTCCACTTTCTGGCAGCATTCCTGAAAGTAAATTTAGTATTATTGAATGTAGTTTCTATCGATTCCACGATACCCACCTGCCACACAGCTGTTGTTCACAAAGATGTCGCTGAGGCTACTGCTGCTATTCGCCATGTACCGGAAGTGCTGATCGCTCTGGGATTGAAGATATCCAACACCTACTCCCTCCTCGTGTGAGGCATGTAACCTAGTGCTGTAGAGGGCACCACCGCCCGGAGCACTACCCAGTGCCACGGTGGCATAATGCTGGGCCTGGGCTGGCATCAGTCTCGGTTGATAGGCATCCGTTTCCACCAACTGGGATGCCGATCTCGGCATGGCATAGTGCACAGAAGCCAATGGAGCTGTTGGCACCTGGTGTGATGCTGCCTGTTCCATGGATCTCATATGATTAGTACCATGCCCATGGGCATGGGCATGTGCCACATAATGATGCAGTCCCAGCTCCGGACTGGCTGCCCGGGAATATGGTGGCGGCACCAAAGTATTCGCCTCATTCGCATTACAAATGAAGCTGGAGCTCAGGGAGTCCACAGTGCTGGCCGCACTTAAAGATCCCCCCGCGGCTGGTCGGACAATGTAGTTCCGGAAGTACTGGACCATCAGGTAACTGGAGCTGCCATTGCCCTTGCCATTACCCGAGTCGCTGTTGCAGGTGAAGACGAGCGGATACAGGTCCGGTTTGGATGTAACCTGGTTGTTAAAGGATTAGTAATGTTAGTTATATATTCTGATCTTTGGGATACATTACCTCTGTGTAGGGTGGCGGAGGATGGTGGAACGAGTTACAGCGACTATATTGCGGTGGTGCATAGCAGGAACCAGCGGAGTCGCCCTCGGATTGGGTATGATGCTCGTTGAATCCCCAGCCACACAGAGTCCTACGCTTCTTCCATAGTGAATAGGCACACAGGATGGCCAAGATAATGGCCACAACCACACACCTGCAAGGAAAATGAATGAGATTAATTGGGATTTCAAAGTTTTATATCGAAGATATTTCACGAACTGATTTATCAGCTGATCTTTAATCAATTTTTTTAATAAATTCGAAAGTTAACTGAATCTCAGCTGAAAAATCTTTTAATAAAAAAAGAGAGAGATCATTCACTGCTCGGTTTGCAGCTGGCGCGACTGAATGAAGAAGCCCATTTGACCGGATCCGGAAGCGGGAAACGGATCCGTGTCCTGCTGTGCCCGTAATCGAATTCCGACTGAAATTTGTTTGCCTTTTCGGTGGCCAAGAGATGGGATTATATCAGCAGGGTAGCGGGCGGCGGGTTCCGTTTGTGTCTCATTAGTTGGCATTGCCATTTCCACGGCCCCCAAGGGAGGTGGAAAGTGGGTGGGTGGTATAGTATCAGGTCTATGGAATGGGTGGTACAGCTTGCATAAGCCTCTCGACTTGACTCGACTTTTGACTTGACGCAACCCCGGCGCTGGGCGCCACCTTTGCTGCCAATAATAATAATATCTCGCATGGCACACAATGCCAATCAGCTGGAAGTCCGACGAGCACCAACCAAAACCATTGCCATCGACCACCACCACCCTCCCGTTGTACGGCCTTGCAGTCGACCTCCGGGGAATCCCCCGAAAAAAGAAAAACAAATGCAGTCATGACCATGGCCATACATACCATCGTAGTAAATAAATAAATCATTCTTACTGCAATTAAGAGACTTTGATTTTAAACACAATAAAGGGAACTGTTCAGCATTGCTGCAGAAATCTCTAGAGATTTTAAAACACTTGCAAAGTGTAAAATGAAAGTGTTTTAGCTTGTAGAAAAGAAAGTATATAATTTCTGCAGAAGATAATAAACTGATATAATATATAAACTAAAAAAAAGATGTCTTATCTAATGATTTCCCACTCACCAGAAGAACCAATGGGTGGCGAAGAACAGATTGAGAACGTGCGAGTCCGAGGAAGGCGGTAGCGGGCGTGGCCCACCCTGGTACGTCGGACAGCAGCCCTGGGTGCAACAGCCCTGGCTGCAGCCTTCGCAAAATCTAGCCGATACCTGTGAAAATACATTATAAAATTATTATAGATCATTATATTATTCAAAGATTTTTTTATTAGCTGTGCGCTTTGTTTAAACTAAATTAGAACTAAAAAAGCGTTAGAAATTACAATAAAATAATGATTTTCCATCAATACAGCTTTATTTTGCTCATAACTTGGCCAATAATGGCCCAAATATGAAATGTAATACCTCGTTGAGTTTGTTTTCTTATTCTTTTGCATTTCAAAAATTTTGATGATGGTACCCCTTATCAATATATTGCCCCTTAAAGTGATAGTATATTTCTCATAATTAAGTCAATTATGGGTAAAAAAGCATGATGGTACCCCTTATAGAAATTGCTAAATTTGGTTTTTCCCATAACTAAGCCAAATCGTTAAAGATTTTTTTATTTTTTGTTTGTTTTGCAATTTATTTTCTATCACTGCAATTTATGGCAAAAGAAAAAGCTAATGAAAATGTCGGTGTCAATATAAGTGGGCGGAATAAAATAAACAAAATAAACAACCAAGTCCAACCTTTGAAAATTAAGTTTGCTGATATATAATTGATTTTAAGGTTTTTAAGATATTACAAAAAGCAATCCTTTGAACAGAACTTGTAATTGGGTTTCATATTTATTTGAGTTTTCAAAAGGGAAAAACGTGGATATATTAAATGCTTTTATTGCCGCAGGGAATGCAATCGCAATCAAATTAAAATGCAAAGGTGCATGCAACATTGATGCGCTTGCGTTTATTTATGATCCTTTTTTCGCTATTGGTTTCTGTGAAGCCAATCAATTTGAACAGCTTGATGTTCCAGAAAATGTTTTTCTTTTTTAAATTATATACGCTCTTCCCAGCTCTGGAGCTCTTAATTTAAAATTAAAATGATTTAAAATATAAAATTATATACTGTTGGTATCTGATAGTAAGAGTTTATCTAAAATAAATATTTAAAATATATATATATATATATTTTTAAATCAAATTTTAAAGGTGTTTTCTACCGTTGAAAATACCACAGATATATATAAATATATATATATATATATATGTTGTTGTTGTTTTCTGCTAGTTTGTGTGCTTGCAACATTGATGAAATGAAAGGCACTTACGTTCGCTGGTAGCAGGGCCAAGAAGAGGAACAAGGAGAACAGGAGCCATTGCAGCGGGGTCGTGTGCGAGGAAGAGGGACGGAGCCTCATGGTTTTCTGCCGCTGCCTCGGTTGACGTCGCAGTCACTGCCCGAGCTGGCGCCAAATGTCCTAGGGCAGGCGAAGGGGCTGTTTGCCTCTCCCTTTTTGTTCTGCTCTTCTTCTTCTTCTTCTTTTTTTCGTCCTTTTGCAGCCTCCGTTTGTTTTTTTGGCCCTCGTGTGTGATTTGTTCCTGCCCTTTTGTTTTGTTTTCCTATCTAGTTTTTTGTTTCTTTTTGCTGTTGATACTTTGCAGTTCCGTTATTTGTGCCACAATGTTGTTGCTATTGTTTTTGTTATATTTCTGTTGATGTTGTTGTTGTGGTTGCACTCACACAAACAGCGTTTTGTTTTGTCCTTGACAGACGCCAAATGCAATTTAGCGTAGCATGCTTTTGTGCGTTGCGTTGCGATTGTTATTGTTGTTGCTGCTGCTGCTGCAGAAAAGACAGAATTTGTTGGTTAACTTAACTTGTTGTATTATTTATTTTATTTCACACCAACTAACACAATCACACAAGAGAGCACCAGCTCACACACATACACACATCCACAAATACACAAATAGCTCGACGACGCCAAAGAAAATTTTCTTTTCGTGTGACGCCACTCTTTTCCTTTCTTCGTTTTAAAATTGAAATTTTAAAAGACATTAAAAAACTTTAGAATATATGGAAAATGCACTAATTTAGCCCCTGATATTGTTGTTAACCCGAAAATCGAGGCGTGTATAGAAAAGAACAACAACATCAGGAGCAGCAGTGGGAACAGCAGCAGGATATACGGATGCGGGTATGGGAAATGGGGGTGGTGAAATGCGAATCACAGCGCAAAGCGGAATTCACCGTTAGCCTCAAACGTGGGAGCGCGCACAGCAACAACTGAGCGTCAAAAACGGAAACAAAGGAGCCAGCAGCTTTTTAACAACCTGCCAGGGTTGTCAAAACACATGTAAAATAAAATATTTTCACAGGATACTTTTAGAATTCAAAAAGGAGGCTTACACTAATTTTTACTTCATTTTTACTTAGATAAGTATCTGATAATATGCATGTGTTACTACTTTGGTCTTATAAAAAAGAGCCGTTTAAGTTAAAAAACTCTCCTTTTGGCGTCTGGAAATATAATAGTTTTGAAAATATTTAAGTTTGAACTAAATAAACCTGTCAACCCCAACAGCTGTTGAGGATTAAACCAGCGGCAAAAAGGGGGATGACTTAAGGACGCCTGCGCTGACGAGGCGCGGTTTTTAAAATCTATATTTTATGATATAGAAAATATGAATGACAAAATGCTCTTGATTGAAGTGAACAGGTTATAGAAATGTATTATTATTAATTAATTAATTATTAATTTAATAAACATGTCCCATAATAATTAAACCATTTTCCTTTCATTGTTAACCTAAAATCTTTAATAGATATAAAAAATAGGACAAAGAAAGTTTAAAGTTAAACTAAATATTTTTGCTTGCAATTTTTTATACAATTGAGCGACAACTAAAAAATATGTGTAATTAATATAGTTAAATAGGTGAAAATTAAAAGGATGGATGGAATAATTATGTATGGTTTTAAGACTGATAGGTTCCATAGAACTTAAGTAAATATAAAAACCTAAGCTTAACTTGAACGAATCGTAAATCTACTTTGGTTTGAAGAACGAGGCAATGCTTTTGGTACCTTTAGCGCCCTTGGCCAGGGCCTTCTCCTTGGCGGTTAGCGAGCGTTCCTTCAGCGGAGTTGGCGTAGGCGATGTAATGCTGGAATTGGGATCAACATCGCTGTCCACCAGACCACTGCTCTTCAGCTTCGCAGCGGCATCACTGTCGTTTAGCTTGATCTTTTTGGACTCGCTGCCTTCGTCCTTGCCCGCTTTCGATTTGCGCTTTTGAGCGGCAGCCTTTTCTTCGACAATTGCTTGAATTTCACTGGTAATGTGCAGATATTCCGTTAGTAGGCCATGCAAATCCGCATCCAGATACCGCCCCACAATATCGCAAGCCATGCGAGTGTAATCCATCTCATTGCTGACAGTTTCCTCAGCCAGCTTTTCGCTTCGCACGAAATTCTGCGACTGAGCACTATGTCCACAGTGAATTTTCTTCTCCTTCAAAATCTCCGATACCTGGCGTGTCTTCAATGCCAGCCAGGCCAATGCTCGCTCCTGGTTATACTTGAAGAACTTTTGATCACCGGAACTCTTCACATCGGCCACACATTTCAGGCTTTCTCGGTCGAGGAACTCGTTGAGCAGGCGACTCGTGTTGACTTCTTCCACGGCAATGTTGTCCAGCGACATTGCTCCTATTTAAGAAGTAAATTGATTAGTTTGAGTTCTGGTATTGGTTTCATGGTTAGTAAACACTGAGACACAATTTCGTACTTTGCCCGCAGTGTTTCCGGAGGTGGTGAAGAGCCAGGAGCGTAGGGTCCACCGGCGTGGTCATGTAGATTCTGCCATTGGAACAGACCTCGCTATTCACCAGCCAGCTGCGCCGTGGTTCAGCGTATTCCACCAGCTCCATCATCTTGCCATCGGGATGGGTCATAAACATTGCCTCTTTTCCTAGTCCGGGATGGAAAAACCGCTCCAGTCGAAGGCGCCGATCGTCCGCATCTTTGGGCAGCATTTCCTTTGACACAAAGAACACTTTTTTTAACGCAGCGGCCTTAGACTTGTTTACAGATCCCTCCGCATCCGGATCCGGTTTTGGTTTACTCGCTCGGGTTGCCTTTTTGCTCATTTTTTTGGTTAAATTAAGTGATTAATTATACTTTAAATAACAATACGCAAACCAAATGTAAGTGTCAACAAAAATATATCCAATACTGATTTCCCGCCTTTTTTGGTGATGTGCGCTTTACCAAAGAATTAATCGATAGGCAAATGGTATTTAAAACAAGGCAATTGATATCAACAGAACCTAATCGATTTTTCGATTTATAAATATCAGAAACAATAGTGTATTTTGGTTCTTTAACAGCTGATGTCTCATAAATATAACGCCTTCTGATGAAATTGCCTATTCTATAGATTATTATTATTTTATTATTGAGGAACAAAATGAGTTTGGATATAGCCAGCACAATTAGGTTTCGAGACATATGCGGCGTGTTAGAGAAAGTAAAGGCCTCAAAGAAGGTTGCCAGTAAGGAGGCGGTCCTCAGGAACGTCTATGAGTCCTTCTGTCGTCACCGCGTATCCTTTCGACAGGAATCCGGATTAACTGACGACCAGGTCGAGGACGGTGTCAGTAGTTTTTATTCGGTGCTGAGGCTGTTGCTTCCTGGTGCGGATACGGGTCGGGATAGCTATGGACTGCAGATCACGACGCTGGGCAAGCTGTATATCAATGTACTCCAACTTCCCAAAGACTGTGAGTGAAGGAAGTCCTAAGGGTTGCTCTTGCGGACTAACCTATAACCTCCTCTTCAGCTCACGAAGCCATAATGCTCCAAAATCGAACCGGGAACACGTACAGAGACTATGGCGATGTCGTCAATGCCGTACTCAAGCGCAGGTGTTTCAATCCGCCTAGCAATTTACGACTGAAGTATATCCACGAGTTGCTGGACACCATTGCTAACGAGGACATAGAAGGTGGGAAATACATAAACTGTGTTAGCTCCTCTTTCTAAACTGACAAACTTTATAGTCAAGAAGCAACATCTCATCCGGTTCACAGAGCAGGCCTCGCCTCAGGAGCAGAAATGGCTAATCCGGTTACTGTTGAAGAACCTCGGTCTGGGAATCGGGGAGCAGAAGATCTTCGGTGTGCTGCATCCGAAGGCACAGGACATATACCAACGCTGCTCTGATTTGAGACATGTTTGCAACCTTCTGGCTGGCAAGACCACTGACTTGGAAGCCAGCACCAGCACAGACAAACCCCCGGCTAAGTTTGTAAATCTGAATTCCGTAATCCGACCATTCCATCAGATACGTCCCATGCTGTGCGAACGATTCCCGGGTGATATCGAGCAACTGATGCATTCAGATGTGCTCTATGTGGAGACCAAAATGGATGGTGAGCGATTTCAGCTGCATATTGATCGTGGACGATTCATGTACATCTCCCGGAATGGTATGGACTATACTCGAAACTTTGGCATTAGCTACGATCAGGGTACCTTGACGCCCAAGCTAAGGGGTCTACTTCCTCTCGGCCTGGAGTCCATCATTCTCGATGGCGAAATGATGGTGTGGGATACCAACAAGTTATGCTTTCGGGAAAAGGGCGAAAACACGGATGTGAAAAACCTTAAGCCGGATGGCCCCTGGCAACCATGTTTCGTAATCTACGATCTACTGTACTACAATGGCAACAGTTTGCTGGATACTCCCTACGTCCGGCGGGCATACAGGCTGCAAAAACTAATAGTTGAGCAACCCGGAGTACTGCAGTTGATGCGCGGTCGCAAAATCACTTCCGTCGAGGAGTTCAACGAGCTGTTCCAGCAGGCTCTCGACTCCAACGCAGAGGGCATTGTGCTGAAGAAAAAGTTATCCAAATATCAGCCAGGAGTAAGACTGGGCGGTGGCTGGTACAAAGACAAGGCCGATGTGAGTTTAGTACTTTTTTTGACATATAAATATGTAATTTTTAACTTATTTTATTTGGCTACTAGTACATTAAAGGTCTGATTACCGAGTTCGATGTGCTGATCATTGGCGGCTTTTACAACCACAAGCGCACTTTTGTGGAGTCCTTTTTGCTGGGCGTTTTGCAACCAGTGCCAGCAGGTAGCTCCAATCGACCCGAGGTCTTCAGCATTGGAGTGGTTACCAATAATACGAAACAGCGCGGAGTGATGAATCACACGCTGAAACCACATTGGCATGATATGGTTAAGGAGCCACCGCCGCTGTGGTATCACTACAAACCGGAACAACGATCTGGATGCCCCGATCTGTGGATTGAGCCACACAACTCAATCATCCTGCAGGTAAAGGCCGCCGATTTGACGCCCAACGGCGCATTTTTCACTCGAAAATCATTGCACTTTCCGCGCACTGAAATGAAGCGTGATGATAAGCCCTGGAACGAGTGTATGACACTCGAGGAGTTCAACGATCTTTGCAAAGGTTCTACTGGCATTAAAAAGTTGAACAAAAGGCCACTGCGTTTGGAGGATGTGACCACCAAACGAAAGCAGATGCGGATGACGCCCTCGGAGAGGGATCGGCCGGGTTTGGCTGTCTACGAGAAGCGCTGTGATATAGACCCTGCCGCTAGTACTACCAAACTCTTCGAAGGCCTGAGCTTTTGTATTCTGAGCGGATCCCCCGGACGGTATAGCAAGCTTCAGCTTCAGGAGCTGGCCGCCAAAAACGGTGGCAGCATCGTGGATTATCCTTTACCTAATGATCCGAAATGCTTTTGCGTCGCCGGCACCGAGACGTTTCTGGTTAAACGCCTCATCCTTCAAGAACCGCGCACTTGTGACATTGTGCGCATGGAGTGGCTATTGAGGGTCTGTGAAAAGCAAGAGCTTGACCTACGGCCCAAGGATCTTCTATCCGCCACCAAGCCACTGCAAGATCATCTGGCGGAGTGCTTTGACCAGTTTGGAGATAGCTACAACAAGGATATTGACAGTGTGGAGGAACTGCAGGAAATTCTCCAGGACATTGAACTGACGCCAGAGAATTTAGCTGGCATTACTGCATCTGAAATTCATGATTTGGAGGATCAGCTGTTAGATGGGAAAAAATACCTGAACTTGTTTCGTGGTTTGCATGCCCATTTTTATGATCCACATGGCGATGAATTGGGCAAGCTTCTCTTCCTGCAAAATGGTGGCAGACTGGTAGACGAAATCAATCCGCAACTGAATCTGGCATTCATCAATAAGTCCAATCTGGAAGACAATAACTTGGTTAATAAACCTGCCGGGTTAAGTGCTGACAAAGTCATAAACTCTAAGTGGATTCATGAATCATATGCGGCAGGCATCCTCCTGCCCATGCAATCTTTTGTTTAAGTCGTTAAATTTTTTTTCAAAGCTTTATATTATATTTGTATTACAAATTTTTTACCTTATTAATTCCAGTAATAAAATGATATACTCCTATAGAGCCCCTATAGAAACGATAGTGATAGTTTGTTAAAAATCTTAGATCAGGGCGGCTCTGACATAACTGATCTAAATGTTAGGAGGTGTAGCACAGGTCTTACATCAGTTCAACTTAAATTATCGTAAAGAACACAGCTAAGTAGAGAAAAAAATTTTGAAATTATTTTTATCTTTTAAAAATTTTTAGTTAAAGAAAATGGAAAGAACTAATTCACGTCATGTGGACTACTCTTCAAATCTTCCAAATCAAATTTACAAGTCACATGCTTCGGTGCTACAGGTCTGGGCAGGGAGAAATAGGAAATTTCTAAAGCCCTATAGTCCTTTCGATTATTACCTCAGGGACTATTTGCTTTGGCATGAAACTGCACGTCCATCTTCCTTGACCAAAAAACAGCTGCGTTTAAAGGCTTTTCGGGGTTGGAAACGTTTGACTGCACCCAGAAAATTTCAATATGAAGTAATGTCGCGGGTTCATAAGTTCAGGTTACGGGAATTAAGGAATTTGAAAAAGATACCTCGAAATGAAATTATTTCAAAAACGAAACGATTATTTCAAAGACGAAAGCGATGCACCAAATCGAAGTAAAGCCGAAGGAACCCTCACATTTCATCTGGAGAAGCTATCCCATGGTGTTTTCATCCAGCTCGAATTACTGATCTCCCAGGACTCCAGGATTTAATGTGAAATTGACGAGTGATGAATCATGTGTATCGGGAATGCGTAGTCCAAGCGCGAAGTTAAGCCGATAGAGGAGTCCTCACTTCTTAACAGTCATCCTGGAGCTTGCCAAAATATATTTACCGGTTTTAGCCTACAAGATATTTAACGTGTTTTTATTTGAATTATTTCTGGAAAAAATATAATCAGATTAACCATATCCATTGATTAAGAAACGCAATGCGTTTGGTTCTTTTTGAAAGATTTCATATTTTATTCACATAAAAAGAGATAACGAGCAGATTAATATTGTTTTTTTCTGTTGGGTTGATTTGTTTGTAGACAAGTTGGGAGTGGTGTGGTTTTTAGTTTTATGATTTCGTCAATTTAAAAAGTCAAAGGGTACAAAGTTCAGGGAGCTCTCTTCGGGTTTTTTCAGTTGTTTTTTCTCGGTCTCCTGCCCATGCAATCTTTTGTTTATGTCATTAAATTTTATTTCAGAACTTTATATTATATTTGTATTACAAATTTTTTACCTTATTAATTCCAGTAATAAAATGATACACTCCTATAGAGCCTATAGAAACGATATTGATAGTTTGTTAAAAATCTTAGATCAGGGCGGCTCTGACATAACTGATCTAAATGTTAGGAGGTGTAGCACAGGTCTTACATCAGTTCAACTTAAATTCTCGTAAAGAACACAGCTAAGTAGAGAAAAAAATTTTGAAATTATTTTTATCTTTTAAAAATTTTTAGTTAAAGAAAATGGAAAGAACTAATTCACGTCATGTGGACTACTCTTCAAATCTTCCAATTCAAATTTACAAGTCACATGCTTCGGTGCTACAGGTCTGGGCAGGGAGAAATAGGAAATTTCTAAAGCCGTATAGTCCTTTCGATTATTACCTCAGGGACTATTTGCTTTGGCATGAAACTGCACGTCCATCTTCCTTGACCGAAAAGCAGATGCGTATAAAGGCTGTTCGGGGTTGGAAACGTTTGACTGCACCAAGAAAATTTCAATATGAAGTAATGTCGCGGGTTCATAAGTTCAGGTTACGGGAATTAAGGAAGTTTAAAAAGATACCTCGAAGTGAAATTATTTCAAAAACGAAGACGGGGCGAAAGCGATGCACCAAATCGAAGTAAAGCCGAAGGAACCCTCACATTCCATCTGGAGAAGCTATCCCATGGTGTTTTCATCCAGCTCCAATTACTGATCTCCCAGGACTCCAGGATTTAATGTGAAATTGACGAGTGATGAATCATGTGTATCGGGAATGCGTAGTCCAAGCGCGAAGTTAAGCCGATAGAGGAGTCCTCACTTCTTAACAGTCATCCTGGAGCTTGCCAAAATATATTTACCGGTTTTAGCCTACAAGATATTTAACGTGTTTTTATTTGAATTATTTCTGGAAAAAATATAATCAGATTAACCATATCCATTGATTAAGTAACGCAATGCGTTTGGTTCTTTTTGAAAGATTTCATATTTTATTCACATAAAAAGAGATAACGAGCAGATTAATATTGTTTTTATTTTCTCTTGGGTTGATTTGTTTGTAGACAAGTTGGGAGTGGTGTGGTTTTTAGTTTTATGATTTCGTCAATTTAAAAAGTCAAAGGGTACAAAGTTCAGGGAGCTGTTTTTATTTGAATTATTTCTGGAAAAAATATAATCAGATTAACCATATCCATTGATTAAGTAACGCAATGCGTTTGGTTCTTTTTGAAAGATTTCATATTTTATTCACATAAAAAGAGATAACGAGCAGATTAATATTGTTTTTATTTTCTCTTGGGTTGATTTGTTTGTAGACAAGTTGGGAGTGGTGTGGTTCTTAGTTTTATGATTTCGTCAATTTAAAAAGTCAAAGGGTACAAAGTTCAGGGAGCTCTCTTCGGGGTTTTTCAGTGGTTTTTTTTCTCGGTTCTGCACTTTGGGCAATAAGAACATCAAAAATACATTTATTTTATTCATTGTAAAGTTAGATATATATATATATATATATATTTGTGTATATATAACATAAATAATGTATATATAGGTGTATAACATTTAACACTAACAATTCTTAAGCGCGGCTCTTCACATCCTCTCTCTTTCTTTCTGAATCGCTCTCTCCATCTCACTTTCACTTAGTAACGCTATCTCTGTCGTTCATTGACTTGACTGTAACATTTAATTTAATGAGGAATATGCAATCTCTGAGATTGTTTAACACATTTATCGACTCCATGAACATCTAGATTACGTATGTCAATCAAATTGTTTTTTAAAAATTTATCAAGCTAATATCAAAAATAAACAAAAAAAAAAAAAAAAAAAAAAAAACATTTATAGTTACTATAATAGGTTCTCAGTTAGTTGGATTCTTGGGAGTGGGCGAAATTCGTGGTTGGAATATTTGTAAATATGTTCATAAATATTTGGGCATTGGGCATTGGGCATGGGGCATACAAATGCAGAGTTCTCTATCGATCTTGATCTTTGAATTGGGGTCGTAACAAGTGTTGAAGGTCATTCAATCGGTATAATATTTCTAAGTCGTTATTTTCTCATTATATTGTTTTGGGTTTGTTCTTTCTTATATCTTTCTTTCAGTTTTGTTGGTTCTTATTAGTTCTTATTTGTGTATGATAAATGGTAAGGTAAATGGGCTAGGTTAACTCCGATATATGGCTTACAATGCTACACATAACAACTATCAACATTAAGGGGTATGCATAATAATAGCGTTTTAATAATAAAAATAGTAATAACATTAGTTACATCTTTATTTGTGTGGTTGTGTGTGTGTGTGTGTTCCTTGAAATATAATTTAAAATAAAGATTATTAAACCGTAAACAAAATAATAATTGCATTCTCTTTAAATCAAAAAAGTCTTTTGGAATTTCTCGCATATTCATTGCATTCGTAGCTACACATATGTACTTTCTTTTCGTTTCTTCTTTTTTTGTTTGTTTTGTTTTGTATAAAATATTAACTTTATAATAATAATTTCTTTTTGTGGTTTTCTTTTTGTTTTCCCAAAAAATTAAGCTTAGGTTTTTGTTTTCATATTGCCAAAACATTTATAGTTAGGCTTAAATTATAAAATATATATCTTAAATTCTCAAACAAATAAAAAGGAAGTTTTTCAAATCAGACTTCATTATCAGAAATTAGGTTTTCCAGCTCAAAAAGTGTGTATGTAATCAACGTTTTTTCTTTTTTAAAGTTTGTTCTTTCTTTAGTTTTTTGTTAGTTTTCTTGGTTGATATTTTTGAATTCTTCATTCGCTTTTCTCATTCTTCACTTTCGGGAGAGTTCGTTTTATATTTCGTAGGTATATGGCAGTCGTTATCATTGTTTTAATTTAACCTTTTGAGATAAGTTGATATTTCTGTTTAAATCAATATTAAAATAGCAAAAAAACAAAAAAAAAAATATATATATATTAATTTAGGTGTATTCACATAAAGTAAGATTTATTCCTAAACAAAACTACAGCTACTAATGTTTGTGTTTGTGTGTGTTTTTGTGGGTTTTACTCTCTTATCCTGATTTAAATCCATCTGCTTGGTCAAAAAGTTTGGTCCACATGAAACCTTTAATCCGTCTAATCTTGTGTGTTTGTGTTTGTGTGTGTGTGTGTATCTACATACTACATATGTCTTAAGACTAAGCCTGTGTTTAGGAGTGACATTTATTTTTAATTAAAAAAAAGCAAGTCCACGTAGTTTAATTTGTTGATCTGAAGCCGTTTAAACTGAAAACAAGAAGAAAATTAAATTAGTTAGAAATTCAAATATATGGAATATAATATCATCAGAAAGAGTCGGGTAAATCCATCGACATCTTTGCCAAACTCACGCTGATCGAAGGTGCTCGGGTTGATGTAGCTGATCAGATCCTGATCCGACATCGAGGTCAGCTCTTGGGGAATTGGCGGCTGTACCGCCACAGCTGCCGCCGCAGCCACAGCACCAACTGCTGCCGGTAGAATGCTGCCAGCGGTATTCGGAGCTGATGCCTGTTGCGTCATCACTGCACCATTGGTGGTAACAGCGGCTGTGGCCACCGACTTTTGCAGCGCATTCTCGCTGGCCAGCGCGACGATCAGAGATTCTTGTGGTGTCGGCGGCACCACCGGCAAGTGATGGCCATGATGATGACTAGTCACATGACCAGTAACGTGTCCCGAAACTCGTCCATGGCTATGACTATGGCCATGATGACCATGGTGAGAATGATGGCTGTGATTCATCGATTGGAAGTTGGCAGCTTCCACAGCCACAGCAGCGGCGGCAGCAGCTGCGGTTTCTGGTGTCGCGGAGTGGTTAAGCAGTAGATTGACCAAAGGATCAGACGCCGTCTCGGCGGGATTACCGCTTACACCGACGGCTGCCTGTGGCGAATGGGAGTGGACGCGTCCATGATGATGATAGTGGTGCTGCTCCTGCTCCTGAGTGGTTATGAAGTCCGCGGCCGCTTTGATAATCATGTTGCTCACCGCTGTGGACGTGGCTGTGGCCGCAACCTCTGGCTGCATAGCCACTGGCGTTGGTGGCAATGTGTCGACCACTCCCACACCCGATGCCGCTGTCGGTGGGCTCATCATGATGTTACTCAAAGCCAAAGCTGCCACCGCTGCATCCTGCTGGGTGGGTTCCGGCTGCATGGCTATATCATTTAGTATGGAGTTCGCCATGGTCACCTGATGGGGTGCTAGGATATTGGGCACAACCGCCGTGGCCGCTCCATTGGCGGAGCACAAAATCGTCGAAGGTGAAACGGCGGGATTCATGATGATATCGGTGGACAAGCCACCGGTGACATCGACAGGTGTTGGACCTCCCATGGCAGCTGCTCCGGCCAAAGCGGCCGCTGGCTCCGAATTGAGGATAATATCCTGGGTTAAGGGTGAACTATTCGGTGAGCTCTCGCTGCCGCTTAGGGAACTGCTGGAATTCGTAGAACTCAACGACAAACTCCTCTCCAGCACAACATTGGGCGGGGCAATGCCCACCTTGGCCTGGAGAATATCGGTCAAAGCATGATCAATCACCGCCGATGTAGTAAACAGAGCCGGTTCACTGGTCCCATTGCTGGTTACCACCGATGTGGACTTGGTCAGCTCATCTATGAATTTGTGGACCTGCTGCTGTTGCTGCTGCTGCTGTTGGGGTTGTTGCTGCTGTTGCTGCTGCTGCTGCTCCTGCATTTGCTCCTGCATCTGCTGATGCTGCTGAACCACATGCTTAACAATCTCATTCTTGACAGCCAATTCCACTGCCACAGCCACTGCAGCGGGATCAATATCAACTGCAGCAGCCACAGCAGCAGCTGTTGCCGGTGCCACAACAGCTGGGAAACCCGGCAGACTGTTAGACTGATCGTACATAATGGTGTCCAGACTGGGTTTCCGCGCAAAGCGATGATACTGCATGGCTGCATTCGGGCTATCCGGTGTGGATTCACCGGTCAGGGGACTGTGCGAGTTGCTATCATCGAGTTCCGTCTTCAGGGCCTCTGCACTGGCCGCCACCGCATTGAGATGGACCAGCTGCTGGTCCGTGATCATTGGTGTGACACTTGGCAGCGACGAACGACGAACGCCCATCGGTATTTGGGTGGTAATCGGGGGTGGCATCATGCCCGAATCGATCTCATGCTTGGCCTCCACATTATCGCCCGCAGCTGAGGGATTCACCGAACCGCTGGCACTACTCCAACCACTGGAGCCACTCGCACTGGACGCTGATGTGGTGTCCATGAAACCGCTCACATCTACAAGAGGAACAATGGATAAGGAAAATGTCTCTTAGTAATCAAATTTTGGTAGCATGTCAATCAAGAATCAGAGGGGGTCATAAAACAAAATCATAAGAAACAAAGATGTAATAATATAAAGACAGTCAGGGGGAGTTTTTTCTTTTTTGTTTGTTTTTTTTTCTTTTGGGTTTGGGCGGGCAGGGATTTTGGGAAGCACTTAATCCTAGGCCAGGTTTCTGAGATAGAGTCTGGGTTGGGGTTCGCCGAGAGAGATCCTTGAAATCCGAGTGCCTTTCCCTTATTTTCTCTTTCTGTTTAACTACAACTTACAAGCTAAAAAACAAACTTAAACTATGGCGTTGGAAAAGCACTCGAATTCCTTGGATCTGCCATCTCAGCGGGTCAGTGGTATCTAAAAGCTAATACTTAGCGGCTAATTAAAAACTAGATGGCTATGTATATTATTTTAGGTTCTTAAGAGTATATATGCTTGGTTTTATATTTGTTCTTTCACTCTGGCACAACCATTCACACAGCACTCATCAGAAAAGGAAAAATTGGATGATCAACACGAATAGAACTTTGGCTTACAAACTTGGCTTTAATCTTTCCACGGCACACTGTTGAAAAAAAATAACTAACTGGCTAAAATCAAACCACACCAAGCTAATAACCAATCAATAGAACACTAAAAATGTTAAGATCAGACAGACTCTAAGGCAGTCATCAGGTCAATTAGTCCATAAATCTGACACTTTTTAAAGAATAATTTCTTGGAACATCAAAGAGTTACGAGAACTAAGAACCACTCACCTATTTCTACATCTCAATGGCAATCACAACAAACAGTCAGTCAACATCAATCATAAGATTCACACAATCATTCAGTAACACACTCCAAGCATTTTCTTGTTTTATCTTCCTAATATTATAGACTTATAGTTACGTCTAATTTGAACTTAGGTTCTACAACTTAGATATATAAGGTGTTGTTTTATGGATTAGTATTAAGGAGCCAGAAAACCCAAATTTCTCTGCTGCCTCAGGTCCTTAACTCGATTATTCTCCTAAGCGGGGTCGCATTGATCTAAAGCTGTTGTCGTTCTCTAGGCGTAATGTTGAGGCTCTGAAGTCGAGCGATGCTTGAATTTCCACTCGTTCTAGACGAGTCCCATCACTACCACCTTCTTTTATTTTTCGGTCTTTCAGAACAAGTTCCCGCTTAAAATTCCCAATCAACTTTTTATTTTCATTACTGACACTGCATCAATTTTGTACATGATTTATGTGCTTTAAGTAGAGAGGAGAACTGAAACTGATCTTCAAAGGGTATGCAATGAATGTTATTGGTAGGAATTTTCACTACTTGATCTAGGTTCTACTATAAATTCTAAATTAAACAACTTTTGTTCTATTCTGAAAAGTATAAAAGTATATTCTGAAAATCTGAAGAAATGTCATCATTAGTAGGAGAGACAATGAAAGTATCAATGAAGGATATTAAAGAATCAATTAGATACCAATGAATGATCTTGACTTTGTAGTACATACCCTATCAAAAATCAAGAAAATTTCAGAACTAGTCAAAAGTAATCTTAACCCTTTCGGATCCCAAGATATTCACGAAAACAGGACAGGACACAAGGACTCTTCAGATGGTGTTAGCTTTATGTGAGTACGCAAATATATCGTATAATATATAGATGCTTAAAAGGTAATGCTCTAAGGTTATGTGTGAAATGGGTTTCCCTTAAAAGTTAATAGTAATGGATAATGTGTGTGTGGTGTGTATGTGTGTGTGTGTGTGGGTAGGGAAAGTGTGTGTGTATTAATTAATAGACATATATATAGAAAAATGGATTACGAAATGGCAAAAAAGAATTTGTACGTTGGTCAATCGGTAATTATTTTTTTTTTTTTGGTAATTTTTTCTGTAATAGTTGAATGGTTTTTTGTGTTTTTTAACCAGTACCCTAAAGTTATCCTTGATGCTGTAGTTGCTGTGGTTGTTGTTGTTGTTGTTGGAGTCTAGAGATGGGGCTAGAGATGAGCTGATGTGGCTGTTGAAGACTCGATGGGGTCGAAAATCCGTCGTCGGTCATCATTTCCCATGGTGATTGGTTATTGGATAGATAATGCTGTCTTGGTGCCATTTTCATTCATTTTTCATTGATTTCTTTCTGATTTTGTGTTGTTGTCTGTGTGACGTGTGTGGGTGTGTGAGTATCTACCGCCATCGAACGCAAGCGATTGGCAGTCACTTATCGAGCGATTGCTTCGATTCTTTCGATAACACCGCTTTTGTCCAGCGTTGCTTTCCAGGCAAGCTTTCTTTTTGGCTTTATTCGTGGCTCGTTCGTTGGCCTCTTTGCTATAGTTACTGTTTTGTGTTTTTTATTTGTTGTATATAAATCTATATATATAGAGAGATACAGGATATATCGGTGTCTATATATATGTATATATATAAATGTATTTATATATATATACTTTTCTATATCGACTGTCGATTAATGACTTAATTTTGGATTTAATTTTGGCCTTGCATTTTATAGCACTCAAAAAGTTACATATTTGACTATATAGTTAGATTGAGCACCTAAATTGCTAAGAGAAGGGGAAGGAGGAAGAATATAAAGTAAAAATATATATATGCATATTTTTTTTTTTTTTTTTTTTTTTTTTTGAGGAGTAGGATTGTATTTGTATGGTGGAGGGAGGGGGTTTCTTTTTCATATTATTATTTGATTTATAAAGACATCCTGATCTTTAAAGGTTATTTATCATTTTCGCCTGACTTGAAAAACAGGTTTATATATAGTTTTTTTTTTGGGGGGGGTTCTGCCTTGTGGTAGTTCTTCTTGTCTGGTTTTATCTGGAAATATCCTCCCGATATTCTGTTGCTTCTGCTGCTGCTGATTCATCGTGTGTGTTGGTTTATGTTCGATTTATTTAATGTTAAGCGATAACCAATATCGCTTTCCTTCATCTGTTCATTATTATTATTATTTTTATGATTTTTTTTTCGGGGGGTATCTTTCTCGGCTGAACTTGATCAAGAAAACTCTGCAATTCATTCACAAAAGGCCCCCCTTTGGCACACAGACACACACACGCACGCACACACACACACACACAGGTAAGCAAACAAACAAACCAACAGGCTAACAAACACAGGCAGACACGTAACTTAAGCAAGTAGAAGAGTCCCCGGGAGAAGCGAAACTTTGTGATGTGAGATTTAAAGTTTACAATAATATACAAAGTAAAAAAAAAAACGCCAAGGAAATATTCTACACAGAAAATGATATTTAAATAGAGAATAGAAAAATAAACTATTCTTCGTCATCGTAGCAAAAGGAACCGTTAGAAGGGGAAAATCAAGTTCATTCATGCAGCAGAGTTGTTTCGATCAGTTTCCGTTTCCTCTCCATTTTCTTCTTTTCTTTTTTCTTTTTCGGTTGGAAGGGTGGAGCAAAGACAGGGAATAGAATGAGAGAGAGAGAGAGTGAGAGAGAAAGAGAGAGCGAAAGAGTGACGGGAATTCTGGGGGAAGACTGGAGGAATCGTTTCTCCGAAGATTTGCACCGTCCTGTGCCTTAATCATTTATGGTTATTTTAATTTAATTTACGGTTTCTATTATTTTATCATTCTTTTTATCGTTTGTGCTTAAAGATTAAGTTATGTTTTATGTTATATTTTGTTTTCTTTGTCCTTTTTTTTTCCTTGTTTCCTACTTAAACATAGAAGGTATTGATTTTTTCATGCGTTATTCGGTGCGAAAGTAGAAGAGTAGTAGAAAATATAGTAGTAGAAAAAATAGTAGTAGAAAAAATAGTAGTAGAAAAAATAGTAGTATGAAAAGGAGTTGAAAGGGTGGCAGGCATTAAATGAGACACAAATTACCCCCCTGAGTGATCTATTTATAAATATTCATGAAAGTTCATTCATTTAGTAAACATGATGGATAAGGCAATGAACTCGAGAAGTTTTGGTTTAATTTCCAGGCAAAATGTATGAAGAAACCACTTAAATGGCCTTAAATTAACTATTATGATTTAAATTAAGTACGTTATTTTTACTAATTTAAAAGATTTTCAACGCAAAGTACCTAACCTTATTAAATTTCTCGAATTCTGTTTGTTTATTCTGTGCATCTGCGAGGTCAAGAACATATAGAATTTGCCAAAAAAAAAAAAACAACAATTTCGTTCAGTTTTCTTTGTTCGGTTAGCTACACACAGACTTGCTAATTGTTAAATATATATTTAATAATAAATTTAAATACTTTAAGCCAAACCGCAAATATAAGAGAATAAGAAACCAGAAAGAAAGGTGGAACAGAGAGTAATAGAAGATACGTAGAAGGGGTGGGTAAAGGGAAAGAGCAGAATAACGCATGAAGAGATCATCGGGTTTGTGTTTGTCTTTTTCCTATCACTTATCGATTTATATGTTTTATCGTTATAGTTATCGTTTTTGTAATCGTTCTAGTTTAGCTAATTTTGGAATGTTGTTGAGAAAATAAAAATAAATTAAATAAAACGAAAACTTTGGAACTTCAAAGTTGTAAAAGGTAGACTAAAAATTCTTACTAAAATAACTGCCTAAGCCTGACGACTACCTCACAATATGTAGCTTATATTCTTTTTTTTTTTTTTGTGATTTGTAATTTCGATATTTCGATGTCTATATATTTCTATACAGCTAACGGAATTCGCGATCTCCGGCTGGGAGTTTTGTGGTTGGTAAATCGGTTGGTTTTCTTTTTTCTTTTTCTTTTCTTTTTTTTTTTGGGTGCAATCGAACGCTTAGTCAACAAATAGATACCTTGGGCGTGGATTGTGTTACTTAACGTACTGGCCGCCGCCAGCGTCGTGTACTGTCCCTTGGGCGTGTAGGTGAACGTATGCGGTTCGCTCTTCTTGCCGCTCGAGACGATGGACACCTGGACCTGGACGGGCTTCAGTAGGTTCTGGTGTAGATATGGCGGCACAGTGCAAATCAAATGGGTCTGTGTTGGGAATATAACAAACAGTTATCATCAAAGATATCGATAAATTATGATAATCTCTACTGACCTGATGAAGATACTCCTTGTCCGGCAGAACACTCTGCTCCCAAAGGGCGGCTGTTCCGCCGATAAGATGCTGACGTACTGCTATCTCGGTGGCCGGATCATCGCCATTGACACTGTCGTAAGTCTCTTGGAACACCACATGCGTGTCCTTCAGGAAATTCTTGCCAATGATGAACAGCTCTAGGCCGCCATCAACAGGACATGAGTTCAACGATTTCTTGCAGATCTCCGGCACGCCAGGTGGTTGAGCTATATATCACAAAAATAATTAAATTAATTTAAAAAATATAAAAAATTAAATAGTTCTTAAGTACTCACTGCAGATGATGGGATTCGAGCAGACCTGGAGGGTCTCGGTGGTGCCATCGTCACGGGTCAACTGGGTGCGGAACACCATTCGGCAGCGGGTGGACTTCTTCTTGTTCTTCTGGGCCAGATGCTCCGGAAAGCGGTGCTCCACATCCACATTGCGTTCCTAGAGGAATGGGAAAAGGAAAGCCATTAAGTTAGTTAGTTAGTAAAAATAAAAGTAAATTTCAATGTTTAAGCCACCTTCAAGATGCCAACGCAATCGCAGGTGATGGTCATGTCCGTTTCTGGCTTGAAATCGATCTCGATGACCATGGTACCGTCGACCTTCTTCTCATTGCACTGCGTCGAATTCTTGCCAGCAACTTTGCAGGCCTGATAGAACATATGTGGCGCCACGCGACCAATGTCCGTGCCAATGAAGACCTGAAGGACGGCACCCTTATCATAACCAGCCAAACGAACGATGGGGAAACCATTGCCACTGCGATCCTTGACGGCACCGCGACTGCCCTCCGTTTGATAGCGAGCCCGATGCTGTTGTTCCGGCTGTGAGATGATTTCCAACTGCACTTGACCATCATTCGAGGTGGCTACGCTGTTCAGGGGGGTGGTGGGTTGCCTTTTATTGGCCACTCGGGTGACAGTTCTGGTCGAGATGAATCTGCGAGTTAGATAACAAAGAGAATGCGTTAGTCATTTCAGAATTTTCAGCGAAGTTTTCCATTCGATCGTTAAAAGATCGAACGAAGGAAGGCTGGATTTATTTTTCTAAGGATCGTTAAAAATCTGGCGCTTGTACTTGAACTTTGGCCAGTGTCCGCCGTTTGAAGAAATCTGGCTTCTTGATTTTGATTTGGATTAAATGATTTATGGTTTGTTTTCTACCACATGTGCTGGCCAAAAAAGAAAAGGGATGCTGTGATGCTGTGATGGTATGAATTATTTTTTTAGAATACAAAAAGATACATCTACAAAGCTACAAAGATACAAAGATACGCAGATTTAGTTAGGTATTAGAGCTAAAAAAAATGGAATGATATATGACTTTTTTTAATGCTGTTAATTACTCACAAACATACACACACTGACGCACATGGAACATATAGTAAAAGGAAAGCCAAAAGGGAATTTATCTGCACTTTGCATTTTTCTGGGTTCGTTCGTTTTTTTTTTGTTTTGTTTAAATAAATCTTAGCTTTGACCAATTGTTTACAAATTTTTGCTCGTCTTTGTTTACAAACGGACAAATACACACAAATATATATATATATATGTACATAACATATATAATATATATACAGATAGACGGGAAACAAACACACATTTAGCAATTATTAAAGAACAAAAGTCAAAGCCATCAAAGTGAATTATTTGCGAATCACAAACGTTTTTGGTGGCCACACTGGGCAAAAAGTCAATTATCCTAACATCGAAATAATTATTTTGCCTTTTCTAATTGTTTTTTGTTTCATTTTTGAATGCTAAACTAGTTATTGTTTAAACATTTGTTCAGTCATTTGAATATTTTTGGCAGCTATTTGGGCTTTCTGTTTTTGTTAGCTTTGTTTTTGCATAAACTTTTGGTGGATCAAAGGGGGTATCATAAATATCTAACTAACTCTCTGCTCTGTTTTTTATTTTTACTACAAATTTACTTTCCTTAACATTCGTAATTGCTTAGTTTTTGTTATAAATTTGGAATATATGAATTTAATACAATATTTAAATGACAGCCAATCTTAGGGATATATTTTGGAAAACAGATAAACAATTTTTGATCATTTTTTTTATAGATTTTTCTAGTACTCCTCATTCCTTGCTAACTCTGCCATTTACCCAATTTTTGGTCACACATTAAATCCAAGAATTTAGTCATAAAAAAGTTACCAAAGAACATTATTTTGTTGTTGTTTTTTTTTAGTTATTTTTTTTTTTTGTGGCACAAACTGAGTTTTCTTTTTAGCTAGAAAAGAAAACACGCCGCTTACTTTGTCTCATTGTTGTTGTTGTTGTTGTTGCTGTTGCTGATGGTGGTGATTCGCGGCAGGAGGCTAACAGTGGGCGTGGCAGGTGGTGATGCGGCAACAGGCGTGGGCGTTGCATCCACAGCAGGCGCCACAGTTACCGAACTGGCAATCTTGCGAATGAACTCATCCTCGCTGCAGGCATCATCGTTGTCCAGTTCCACTTGGTTGCACTCCAGCTTCTTGCGTTTGATATGCTTGCCATGGCGATGATGATGATGGTGGTGATGGTGATGATGATGCTGTTGTTGCTGCTGCTGCTGGTGAGTAGAGGCATGTTGCTGCTGCTGTTGTTGGTGCTGCTGCTGCTGCTGCTGCTGTTGTTGTTGCAACAACAATCCATTGTACTGAAACTGTTGCTGCTGCTGTTGCTGTTGCAGGGTAAAGGCATTTACTGCTGCTGCCACAGCTGCTTCGGTTGCCTGAAAGACGCCACCAAATGGATCCGAGTTGCTATTCCCACCGGCTGTCATCGAACTGTTATCGTTCACAAAGCCAGTATCCTCGTCCAAGACGGGCGGCGTCGAGTTGGCCGAATCCTCTGAGGATGACGCCGATATCAGATCCAGATCCTCCAGATAGTGTCCCATCATTTTCTTGGCGTGCCGCGATCTATACGTTAACATATATATACAGACATTCATGTACATGGATACACAACAGCAACACACACACACACACACGTACGCATTATAGAATATAGATCGATGTATAGATCGTTTTTCAGTCTTTCAAATTGGGAAAGTTCTTTAGGTTAAGCCTAGTTATTAAGTAACTGCTTAGGAATCTTGAAACTTATGAGAAATCTTTCAAATAATTGCGTATTAGATATTATTTAATCCCTAATCTTGACAGATATAGTAACTCAGAGCCTAATCTCGTTTGAAAGCTCTAAGAAAAACAGCTAGAAAAAGCCATGTCAAGATGCATGGAACTAAACCCAATCGACACTCAGCTTAATGCATCTAAAAAAACTGAACACAATATATATAGTAACTGAACAGATCTGATGGGAACTAACCAACTGAACTCAATCGTGGATTGATATGATTATAAAAGACAGAAGAAATCAAGGGAACATAACATTGTTGAAGGTTGAAAAAGAAACAAAAGAACGCAACAGTTGCCAGGAAAAACTGACATTACGAGAATCAGAAATTATGCATAAAGATATTTGAATATGTAACAATTTTCCTGTATTATTTACAGAAATTGTAGTTCATCAATATATGTATAGACTGCCTGAAAACCCATCTCAACTACATTCAATTGACAGTCAATCAAAACACAAACTAGTCGTCGTCCTATGTCAATGAAATCTGTTCTTATAACAGTTTACTCTATATACATAGCAAGATGTTGATTTAAGCTATATATTCATAGCACAAAAAACCATAAGAGATTCCTTAAGCTTAAGCCTAACGTTCACCTATTAGCTAATAAAATTGATAAAGACGTCGCATGCCATAATTTCCCTTTGAGCATTCCATAATACGACGAGTACTCGTATTAGGTGTAATCTTTAGCAGATACTGCGCTTCAATCCTAACCCAAATCGGGCAAACGGCGGAACACTGAGACTGCAGCTGATTGATAATAATAATAATAATAGCTGAGCACGATTTGCAAAGCGGACGGCGGCAACAGTGCGTATAAGTAATCTCGTTCGTATAAGCATTCCAAACAGAGCCAAGAAAACAATCTCCATCTAAAAGTCATTGGCCAAAGTGCTAGAGAGAGACACCAACAACATCGACACCGAACGAATGCAGAGGAAAAATGCGTCTTTTCAATATATGCAAATTAAATTAACCGCCAAAGAATGTGCAAATCTTGAAGATCAACAAAAAAAAAAAAAAAAAGACTAAAAAACTGACCAAAAAGGTGAAAAAAACCAACAATGGAAAAATATTGCGAAAAAAACAAATTATTTTAAAAATGATTTTTACTTTACTTTATTTGTAATTGCTAACATAAGAAGAGGCAGAACTATTTTTAAAATTAAAATTCTTTGGTTTTTGGAGCAAACGAGAATATTTTTAGAAGACACTTTTTGACGGCAATTGAAGATGAAAAGGCTACCAGAAAATTCTGTTTTCTTTTAATAATCTTAGATTAATAATCTGCTATATTAAAACCATAAATATTAATCTTGAAATATTAGATAGATCTAAAAAAAAACACTTAACCCTTTAATGCCTGTCCCTGCAATTAACGAAAGCCCTAAATAAACCTCATAAAAATCACAGCACTTTCATGATTTTCCCTTTTTGGATTCTTCACAAAGATAAGGGGCAACCCCAAGAGCCAAGCACCTTCTGAATTATTAACCCACCTTTGCCTCCTGATTGGTTTTTTTTCTTTTCTTTTTTTTCACATTCCCAAGTGCAATTTGCAATTGGTGGCGATACTGATAAGCTGATAAGATAATGCGGCGATTTACACAGATAGGGGCATGCAATTACAATAACTACAACAACTACAAGAGATGGCAACAACAATAACAACAAGGCACAAACAACAGCAGCAACAACAACAACACAATGAGCCCGCACACACACACAGAGAGATAGTGAAATCCATATGAAAATTTAACATTTTTAAATCGAAATCGAAATCGAAATCTTAATCCATGTCGAATCTAAGCAAATAATAACAAAACGCATTCACCATGACCTACAAAGGAGAACCTGTCTCTAGAAGAGTCTAAAAAAAAAACAAATTGAATGGAATTTAAGTATATTTTTTAGTGACTACTGCTAAGGGATTTTAAGGATGCTTTGCCTTAGGTCATTGCCAAACTTTTCATCTTCAAACTAAATCAATAGCTAAGTTTACGTTTTCCCGCAAAGTACTACAATTATAATATATCTTACACTTTGTTAATGTTTTAACTTCCTTTTAACACTTTTTAAAGTAAACTATTGCTCATTTTGTAATTCGCTAATTGAATATTTGCCCACCACACACGTTCCTGTCGATGCAAATGACTTGGGCCTACTGAAAGGCAGTTAGCAGATATAACTATCAGTTGAGGAACTTTGTTGGCGCCTCAAACCAGACACTTTCCACCAAAAGGGGCCTCAGCTACAAATAAACAATGTTCCCTTGCCAACCCATAAACAAAAGGGGCAATTCGATATTTAAATAAGCCAAAAGAAGCTGATTCTTAACTAGAAATCATGGGAATCAATATTAAGCTTAAGCTTAAGATCTTCTGATCTTATTATCAGAACTTTAAAGCTATTTTCTTGGCTCTAAGGGATAGTTTAAGATGTAAAATATATCAAAAAGTTATAGGTTATATAAATTTATATAAAGATCATTACCAGAGGGTGTATAATGTAGTGAGGCAAATGGGTATTACTGTGATTAGCTGAAAACTTCCAAAGAATCTTCCTCAAAGGACAAGCCAAAACCCTTTAACTGCTAAATAATAAATCTACATTTTAGTTAAAAAACAAAACTAATTAGACCTCTTAAATGTGTGTGCGCGCGCATGTGTGAGTTTGTGCATTGGAGTGTGGGTGTTTTTCCTTCTTCAATTTTCATTCACTCGAAACCATGAATCAAACGCAAAACGAAATGAAATCATGAGCTGGCAATTATCTCGAGTTGCGGCTGCGCATGAACTCAGATGAAGATTTTAGAGACTGCGAGGGGGGTGGGCCATGTATCATATATATATATATATATATTTAAATATTATACATATATATAGCTAGATATCGGGGCAAGTGACAGTGACTCACCTTGATACAGGTATCGCTCGTATTAAATGCTGCTGCGGTGAATGTTGCTGCTGTTGTTGTTGCTGCTGTTGCTGTTGTTGCTGCTGCTGCTGCTGTTGTTGCTGCTGCTGCTGCTGGTGGTGTTGCTGATGTTGCTGCAACGTATTGCTAGCCACTGCAGCAGCTGCTGCGGCCGCTGCAGCAGCCACTGTATTGGTTAAAGCACTATTGACCAGCAAATTGGTCCTTTGACTTGAGTTACCACCATTCGCCCCCGGGTCGGCCACGCCCCCAGCTCCCGCTGAGGATCTCAGTTCCGTGTGCTGATCAAAGCCCAGACCGCTGTCATTGGAGTTGTCACAGGGCGGGGGATGGGGTCGCTGTGGTATTCGTTTCCCAGGTACAATCTTTCCAGGACCCGCCTGTGGAAGGGTCATGGACGGGGTTAAATAGGATTAGTTTAGAAAACAGATCTCTTTAAGGAACGAATATTATTTATTAGTAATTAGTTAAGAACTTTCTACTAACCCTGGTGATGGTGTGCAGCTTGCCGGGCAGTCCCTTACCCGGCTGTCTTTTCGAGGGTATGCGAAATCCCTTTCGATGTATTCGCGCACTCATTGTGGAATTCGTGGACATGGTCATCCTCATGCCTGGAAAAGATTATAGATACATCAGGATTAGTTTATGATCAAATCTATATTATGGAAATGCTAATACTAAAAGAAAAGTTATAGAAAGAAACCACCGTAAGATATATTTCAGTATCAGATGAGATTTCTGCTACTTGGAACCGCGTTAAACTGAATTTCCCCAGTTGATCGCCTCATTTCCAGCTTCATAAAGCCGCTATGGTACTTTGCTTCATTGGAACACAAAAGAATTAAGACCCGAGATAGAGGCGGACCAAGAAAATATTGTCGCCGTTTGCAAGTTGCAAGTTATATGCCATGGGGAAACTGATAAAGATGCTGCTGCTGCTGCTACTGCTACAGCTACTGCTGCTGCGACGACGTCTATGGGGTGCATTGAACTCCGCCGGAGAGTGCCAACCCGGAGAACTGAGCTCCGTATAGTTGGGGGGATATAGCAGCATAGAATCGCTATAGCAGTTGCAGTTTCATTTTCATTCTCAGTTAAAGTTTCAGCTGTCATTGTTGATGATGATCAGCTTGGGTGATGTGATGATCATCATGGCTGATGATCATAGTGAGGCTACTGTGTTTTCCTGCATTTCATTGTTGATCTCAATTGAAGCTCAATTTCCATTTGCATTCGCATTCGCATTTCCATTTCAATTTCAACAGCAGCAGCAGCAGCAGCAATGTGGTTGCCGTTGTCGTTGTCGTCGCCGTCGCACTTTCAACGTTATTTTCTGTTTTATTTTTTATTTTTCCCCCCCATTTTTGCACTACATGGAGTTCTTTTCTATAAGTACATATGTATATCATCTGGTTGGGTCTTGTTTTGTTTGTATATTATCATGGGCAGCAGCGGAACAATGGGCCGGAGTTCGCTGATAAGGAAGCCAGACGACAAACCCAAACAAACCAAACGAACCCAACACCCAACCCATTAGCTCTGGTCCGCTCCCCTGCCTTCGCCACCTCCACTTCCTCCTCCTCCTTCACAGTCGTTCAATTTTCTTTATTATTCGATCGTTTATTTGGCTTGCGCTTCTTTATTTATTTATTAATAACAGAAAAAAAACAAAAGTTGATTTATAGAAGGAATGCCTTTAGTTGTTTATTTCGCAGAAGAATAGTTAATTAAAATGGAAATGCAAAATTTGATATCTTAAGGGGGGAATACTTGGGTTTATATAGCCCTATACAAAGGTTTAAACTTTGTTGGGATAGGCTAAAGTGAAGGCAAAAAGAAAGGGAAACCATAAGGCAAGGCAGAAAATGGTGAGAAAAGCAGCAGCCATCAAGGGAGGTTTAAGACCAACTTACTTAAGTTGTAAATTCAGTTTTAGTATAAGAATGAATATATATTTCATTTTAATATAAAATACAACTTGATCTTAACATTATTAACTCACATTACACCTTTCCCTATACACCAACCCACTTTTCCTATACACCAACCAACTTCATCAACTTTAACCATCAACCACCAACAAATTCCCATAGTAAAACCTTAAAAAATAAGTTTAAACAAATAACAAGAAGTGAGAAACGTAATAAATGTCGGCAAATAAGAAACCATAATTCTGCTTAAGCCTAAAATTAGCTCATAAATAGCTCGTATAGCCCGTAATATTTGCTAGAACTAAAATTTGAACAACCTCTTTTGCTCTTTCCGAAATCCATTTAATTCCAGAGAAATCTGCTTTTTTCAAAAAATAAAAAAGAAAACTATGTTCCGTTCCTTAATTCCGGTAAAATCGTTAAACAATTACGAGCTAATTTACGAGATAAGAATCGGGCAAACAATAGCGCCTTTGATAGCAGCAACGAAAGCAAACAAACTTTGATCTCCAATTACGAAGATCCCTCAGTGACGTGCGTTGCGCTCCAAAAAAAATAGATATATATATAAATGTAAATATATATATATATCTATATATACAAATTAGGGAGGTGAGAAAATCTGTTCGACTCTTGGCTTTTATGATACCATAAGTAAAATACAAAAAGAAGGAGAAACGCACCCTTTTGGCCTAACCTTGGAGGGAAATCAAACAAACAAACAAGCCAAGCAAACATTTATTATGTTGGGCTTGCCTACCTGCAGAACCCACAGAACGGAGGAACCCCTTTTAAATGGGCTTTACCTGGTATAACACCACAGATAAGAGCCCGCTGCCTGGGATGATCAGTGGGTGAGGGTGGTTATATCTATTGTTTCCAACTGACAAAAACTGCTCACTCATCTTCAAGATACAGACACAACAACCCAGATACTACAGATAACTAATGGATACGTTAACGATATGACAATCAACCAAAGTCACTTTCATCTATCTATCAACGTTATATAGATGTACTAGATATACTAGTACTAGTACTAGAGACTTTGCACTTGATTGGCTGACAAAAAAGCCTTTCATTTAATATATTTTTCAGGTGAGATCAGGGCGATCCAGGTTGAAGGGAGTAGCATAGTATAGAGAATCAACCTGGATAGTTAAACACAGATGTTGGTTGTCTTGCTAGCTAGCAAGTTCTATAATTAAACGCAGACTCCTCAGACGAAATAACAGCTTCGGCGGCTGAGGTGAACCCAAAACAGATTGTCAATAAAAGCAATGAATTAAGTGTATTGAACTTGTATGACCCACTGTACCTCTGCCTTGCCCTCTGCCCGCTCCGACCTATTCTCTACTAAGGCAGTCTAGAATTGCTATTCCTATTCCTACTCCTATTACTAGTATTGTGAAAGATGAGCCTCTTTGGTCAATGGCTGTGAAATAATAACGGAAATGAAAATGAAAAGTCTGGGCAATTTGTTTGATTGAAATTTCTCTTTAAATATAAGAAAAGTGCAGTTTTTCTTGCTTTTTAGTATTCGTTTTAGTGCAATTTTAGTCACTTTTGAGGCTAACTAAACCCTCTCAAAGCCTCCCCTTGCAGGCACTTCTTCTTCTTGCTGATCTCATTTGTCACCATCCAATTAGCGGGTTGGTCAAGTGTTTCGGTGTTTGATTGGATGGCTCTTGGCTTTTTATATATTTTTATACCCGTTACTCGTAGAGTAAAAGGGTATACTAGATTCGTTGAAAAGTATGTAACAGATAGAAGGAAGCTTTTGCGACCCTATAAAGTATATATATTCTTGATCAGGATCAATAGCGAAGTCGATTGAGCCATGTCCGTCTGTCCGTCCGTCCGTCCGTCCGTCCGTCCGTCCGTCCGTCCGTCCGTCCGTCCGTCCGTCCGTCCGTCCGTCCGTCCGTCCGTCCGTCCGTCCGTATGAACGCTGGGATCTCAGGAACTATAGCAGATACAAAGTTGAGATTAAGCATGAAGATTCTTGAGGTCCCGGGACAGCGCAAGTTTATTACAGCATCCTGCCACGCCCACTCTAACTCCCACAAATTGCCAAAAACTAAAATTGCTGAAATCTCAGGAACTATTGCAGTTAGAAAGTTGAAATTCAAAAAGTATAATCTTTAAATGGCAGCGCATCTTATAGTGGTACTACTATCCGGCCACACCCACCCATACGCCCACAAGGCTCAAAAGACGGTTTTCGGATTTTCTAGAAAAGCTGATATCTCGGTAACTATAAGAGATAGAAAGTTCGGATTAAGCATGTAGGTTTCTATTATGCTCCCAATGCGAATTGTTTTTTTTTCGATCAAGCCACGCCCACTCTAACGCCCACAAAACCTGAACAACCAAAAATGCAAAAATCCCAAAAACTATAAGAGCTACATAATTTTGTTTAGGATCACGTATTTAGGAGATGCCTTTGCAACTTTCCACGAAGTTGCATCCGGCCACGCCTACTCTGACGCCCACAAACCGCGGAAAGCTGTGGCGTCTATAATATTATTATGAATGCCTTCGTTTGACCTTGTGTAACTTATTTCTGTTAATATCTATCGACTTACAAAAGATTTTTTAAATCGGAACATTATTTCGCTATTTATGAAGAAATTAAGGTTATAAGGCTCCACATGGGCAGTGACGTCACTATAAGCATACTCAACATACTTCCTCTGACAATAGGTGGCGCCTTGTGAATTTCCACTAGCAAAATAATATTTTAAAATTTTGTAAAACAGTAACGGGTATCTTATGGTCGCGGCACTCGACTATAGCGTTTCTTCTTGTTTTTTACTGTTTTTGCCTGCTTTTTCTTTTGTTATTGTTGCTGCTTTGTAATCTTATCGGCTGGCCAAACTTGGCAACTGGCGAAAAAGAAAAATAAAAAGCGTTGAACAAGAACCAAGAACTGAGAATCGAGAAGCGAGAAACGAGATATGGAGAAAAGGAATATATTGAATCACCAGCGACAACTGGCGCCCCTATAGCGTAATTCAAGATTGGTTAGCTCGATATTTCTGGCTCTGGATCTTAGAGAGGCGACGAGGAAATTCCTGGCGTACTTAAAACAACAACCAAAAACCATATCGATTCAATGATTATGACATGTTATCAAAACCGAGGCCCAGCGAGAGAGATTTGTTTTCAAAGCAATTATGGCCTGTTGCCCATAGATAAGCCAGCCATTAGCATTGGATGTTGGGATAGTACAAGTTATAATCTATAAACTAGATGTCTGGCTTTGCAAGTGCTTAATGCTTAGGACAAGAGCTAATAAATTGGCTAGTAACAGCTGGTTTTTTACATAAATTATATTCATTTTATAACACTTTGATCGAACTAAAAGGATTTTCTGGGATATATTTATGGGAGAACTTTGGTGGCATTTCACAATTTCATTGAAAATATTAGGGTATTATCATATTTATAGGTTTTTTTTGTGTTCTTGAATACCACTTTAGGTTAACTTAAACATTTTATCAGAATTGATAAGTTAAAAGGAGTGATTTCTCTAGGCAAAACATTTGCGAAATGTTTAACATTTAACTTCTTTAGTTTTTATGGATTAACTTATTTGCTAATAGATATGAGTTTTTCCAGCAAAAGATCAAAAGCTATAGACAGTCTATTCATATTTGAAGTAATCATTGCTATAC